TTAATTTCTGACTTGATGTTACAGATGTCTTTTAGAGTTGTATCATGAATTTGCAAATAGTTCACATTTGTTTAAGTTCAGAGTTAACCTTGAAGCTTTGGAGAATTTTTTTATTTTTTCAATTGTTATTGGAATTTGGTGTCTGTCTTGTACAAAAAGTGTTGTGTCATCCGCAAGTTGGCTGATGACAATATCGGTACCACATTTACATTTTTTATTTCATTACAATTTTTAATATAAATTGCTAACATTTCTGTGACTAATATGAATAAATATGGTGAAATGGGACAACCTTGCGGAATTCCCACATTAACATTAAAACTGGGGGTGGTGCCACAAGGTAGCATGACACAGCTGTTGATATTCTGATATAATCCACCAACTAAATTCCTAAATTTGACTCCAAAACCTATATGTTCAAAAACTTGGAAGATAAATGGGTGCTCTACGGAATCGAACGCTTTATAGAAATCTAAAAAGAAAAGAAAACCATCATGTTCAATTTGATTTCTATATTCAATAATGTCCATTACCAGCCTTATATTGTTGTGGATTGATCTTCCCTTTAAGAAACCAGACTGTGTTTGTGCAATACGATTTGAAATTCCTGTCTGAAGACGAGTGGTGAAAATGTAGGTGAGTAATTTATAATCAGGGTTTCTAAGAGTAATAGGTCTTTGCCGGGCTTAGGAATTGAGATGATGAGCCCATGTCTCATTGTGGGTGGAAGTACACAAGTTTCAAATATTTCCAGGAATACTTGATGTAGCAATTTTTTAATATCTTCCCAGAAATGGCGATAAAAGTCTCCTGTGAGTCCATCCGAGCCCGGTGCCTTGTTAAGAGATAGGCGGCCAATTACTCTGTCCAGTTCAGTAATTGTTATTTGACTATCACATGTTTGTTTAAAGTTATCTTCAACTTTGGGAATATATTTTTCTATATCCTTAAAGAATTTATGGCAGTCTTCATTAGAGAATTTAGAGCTGTAAAGCTGTTTATAGAATTTGAGGATTTCTGAGGAGATTAATTTTGGTTCTGTGATTTCGATATCATTTACTATCAAGGAACTGATGTTATTTTTTCCTTGTCTCCTTTTTTCAAGACCACAAAAGTATGCTGAGTTTTTTCCCCCTCCTCTATCCATTTAGCTCTCGATCTAATGAAAGCCCCTTGTGCTCTTTGAATATACATTTCATCCAGTTTAGGTTGAAGATTTAGTATTTTCTGTTTATAGCGCTAGTACATTAATACCATGTCATTCTCTTTACCTAGCTAGCTAGCGCTAGCATATGCATACCATGTCAACCTCTTTAGCTAGCTAACTAGCGCTAACATAACCTTGTCATTTTCTTTAGCTCGCTAGCTAGAGCTAGCACACATAAACACATTAACCAAAGATAGCGCTTAGCTAAGCGCTAATCGCTAGCTACGCACTAATCGCTAGCTAAGCCCTAGCTTTGGTTAATGTGTTTAATTGTATTATGCTCCTGAAGGACTACTAATGTTAATGAAGGAACAGCTCATAGCAGGGTAAAATATTTAAGGTGCATTGCACTTATTTTGTGTTAATATTAAAATCATTCAGCTTTAAATTGTTTGCTTGTTAGCCACCTTCTAATTATCTTTAGCCAGCCAGCTGGCTAGCGCTAGCTTATTAACACCTGAAATACTCCTCTGTAGCTATGGAGGACTGAAAGTGCCACAATTAAATAAATAAATACACCATTAAATAATTAATTAAATGTGTCATTCATTCATTAAAATTGGAATTAAATACATAAATGTGTAATTAAATATGTCATTCATTAATTCAAATACCGATTAATTTGATGTAAAATACATATATAATTATTTCACTATTTACATTTACATGTCATGGTCCTGCCTGGCAGTGCTTCATGAATTACTTAAAACTGTCAAACTCATCCATCAAAAGTTGGTAGGCGGAACCTAACGCCTGATTGGTTACCCTGCGCATCAAGCCAAGACAAATCAATTCCAGATAATGGATCGATGCAGAGCTAGTGAACACATTCCAATACACTGGGTGGCGCTATTGGACTACTTCTTCTAAATCTGCAGTCACTCTGTGGTCAATATCTTGGTCAGAAAGTGCTGAAATAACTCCAAGAACTTCAATAAGTTCCTCTGCTTTACTCGCTACATGCTCTGGGTCAGCAGCTCCTGCTTCCACATCCTAAAGTCTAAAAAATAAAATAAAGTGTTTAACTTTGAACAATAAAGTGTAGCAGCAGCTTGAGTTTCCCTTTTTCTTTGTTAACTGTTTCATATCTTGATTAACAGTCTCAACAAATTTTATAAATGAATATCAACACATCTTTACAATTGAACAGTTTCTCTTTCTTTCCCTTTTATATCTTTCTATACACTTTCTGTTGTTCAGTGAGAGAATTGAGCTCTAACCTCTCTCCCTCGTTGGGCAGTGAATGAATGGGTCAGGATCAGTGTTGTAAGTAATTAGTTATAGTTACAAATTACTTATCCCAAAAAGTAACTGAGTGAGTAACTCAGTTACCACATTGTAAAAGTAATTAGTTACACAGCAAAGTAACTGTAACGTTATTTTTTATGGTCTATAATTACATTCTATAACATCTTCTATAACATTAAAGATGTTTATAATCACTGAATAAAGAATAAAACACTATATACAGTATTTTAGAACATTTGGTATTTATTTGAACTCAATAGATTGCGTTAGTAACGCCATTATACTTAAACACCGTTACTCCCAACACTGGTCAGGATACTGGTTGACTGATCATATTGGGATCTGAGCCTGCTTATTTTCTGTGACCTTGTTCAGACTTGAGGGGGTATGTTTGATGAAAACTTTGTGTTTTGTCTCATAGTGGCGTTTCACACTGACACTTTTAATCAGCGCCACGGTCTCTGAACATATAAGACACACTGGTTATGTGCTCCCAGTGGGAAGAATGAATGTGAATGAATCTGTCCATTAAAAGCTCAATTTTCTATCCACTTTTCTCTTCTTAGAGAGCGCCATAAATCTTCTGTTCTCTCCATGTATCTGTGACGTCTCTTTCCGTCTGTCTCTCCTCTCTCATCGCTCTCATCTCTGTATTCAGTCGCGCTGTTTAAACAGATTTGATTGGCTGAGCAGCATCACGTGGGATGACTTAACTAGCATGCGATTGGTCTGTGAGCTTCCTGATCTGCTAAACAAATACCGTAAAGACTAAAAAAGCTGTGCTGGTTAAAATAGAAGCTCCCCATCAAAATTTAGAATCCTCAATAATGAATTGATTATAGGTCTGGGTCCGCATAGGACGGTGTCTGGGTCCAGACTCGCCTGTTAGCGACCTCTACCCTAGAAAGTTCCTGGCACTCTACTTCAGACCAAAGCAATGGATCAGGCTAAATTCGCGTTGGCCCCACCCACTGAGTTTGATGGTTGGCTTTGACAGTTTTAAGTAATTCATGAAGCACTGCAACGCAGGACCATGAAATGTAAATGTAAATAGTGAAATAATTATATATGTATTTTACATAAAATGAATCGGTATTTGAATTAATAAATGACACATTTAATATCACATTTATGTATTTAATTCCAATTTTAATTAATTAATGACACATTCAAGTAATTATTTAATGGTGTATTTATTTATTTAATTGTGGCACTTTCAGTCCTCCATATATAGCTAGCTATGTGTGTGCGTGTGCGTGTATGTGTGTGTTCACTGGCAGGCTTTGGTTGTCGTGGCAACCAGGGGAGGCCACAGCAGCTGCGCACTCTCTCTCTCTGTCTCTAACTCCTCAGAGAGACAGAAACATTTAAAATGAATCCCCTCGAACCCATGGCCAGGAACGACCGAAATGAAAACCGAAAAGACCGTGAGCGTCGTCATCTTGTTGACTATAGCAGTGCCGAGTTTCAGTGGCTAAAGTTAAAAAATGTGACCTGGGGAGATTGAGAGAGAAGAGGTTCAACGAGCTCCTTTAAACATTTCTCCTCTACATTTTAACATGGGAGTAGATGGGGCCCTGAGAGGGTGTTGCTGGCGCATCAGTGCGTCTCCCGCCAAAACTATTTGTCTGACAGCTTCAGGAGTGGTATCACTGCGACCCCAACGAATTTACCTACGTGTATCTACAAATTATTTCTGTAGAGTGGCATTTGTGGCCTTGAGAGTGGTTTACAATTTTTCTTTTTTTTGACAAATTTTTCTCTCACTCTCCACTCTAGGGATGATGTCACGCACTCTAGCGGTTGAAGATTCTCGCAATACACACGCATTCATTTTATCAGCAAACCGTTTGGCGACACGCTTAGAAAAGTCATAGCACTAATGTCCTCACCGAGCTGCATGTTTTGATACCTTTTTTGTGTACGTGCGACCAAAACTGCGGGAGAAGCACGCCGAAAAACATACGGAAGAATAATAACACACACGGCATAATAGTAGTGTGCTGTCCCAGGCACACTAATAAAACACAGGTGTTACAATGATACTAATTAAGGGTCCATTCCATTTTGTGTAGAAGAGCCTTTCCAGTGAGCCAACATGCACAATGACAGCACCAAGACCTGTTTGACCTGAATGGAATAGAACCTTATTTAATATAACTGTAATGTCTGTGTTTTGTTTTTGTTTTGTTTTTGGTGTTTATTAAGCTTCCTCAAGTAATCAGGAAAAGATCAATCGATGGATGTTAAGAATACCTAACAATAAATCCATCCGAGCAGAAAAGAGATTCAATATGATTTTGACAAAATATACATTACTATCTTTATTAAATCTTATTCTTCAGAATTCACTGCATGCATATAACGTTATATCATTAAATGTTTTTAAATTAACCTCCTTCATGTAAGGTAACGGAAATTAGAGATATCATGTTCCAACTTGAAAATCTTTGCAAAAAAACCCTTTAACGCTTGTGTTTACCCTATGTCATGTAAAAATGGCTGGTGTAAAAAAGGTCGAGCGCTGGGGGGCAGCCTGCGTACAGCATGCCGGAAATGGATTAGAGAAGAAGACGGCGCAGTCCACTCACTCGCCCTCGGAGGACGGTAGCTGTTAGCTAACTGCTGCAGGAGATCCACAAGGATAACAGACAGATCCGTGTATAGTCTGAGGTAGTATAACGTTGCTGTTACTGTCCGCTGTATGTATGTCTGCCTGTTTGCCTGTCTGCCTCAGTCACGCCCTGTCGGTCTGTCTGTACGTTGTCTGAAGCTAAGTTAGCTAACTTAGATAAGTTGAACTTCGGATATCAGGCATGTCCTTTTTACAGCATATGTTAGAGCTGATGTGTGCGATAATGTCATTAGTTTTCATATTTATCACACAGCCCCCTAAATGAGCTTACATAACATAGTATAATGTCAGTCACTGTTACACTTTGTTACGTTGAACAGTCTCATCTGTGACATTGTTAACTGTCCTTGCTTCAGCTGTGAAAATGCCATCTTTTAGTAGCCATGCATAGGTCAGTGCATCATTCTCCATACTACTGAAGTACTAATAGTAATACTATTGTATTTGTCCCGTTTGAATGCTTCCACAGGACTTGAGCCCCATTCTGACGGGACTACCCTTACATTTTAATAAACATCGTACCGCGGTTAGTTTAAAGTTAGATATTCAACAAACATTTAGTTCAAAGCCAGAATGAGTTTGGAAGTTAAATCTCAATATCAAGTAGAGAAAGAAATCAGTGGTGTCAATGTATGTAAGAAAGTTTGTGCTTGCATTGTTTCATGAGGCTGTGGTTGTTCTAGAGGTCATAATAGCTCTTTTTATACAGTGAGCTCAAGTTTCAAACAATGGTCCCACTACAATGAGATGGCTACCTTGGGGACAAACATTATAACACATGAATACAAACGGGCAAAAAAAAAAATCATAGTTTTTGCCCCAAACTGCATGACATTAGCATAAAGTTGGTATGTCTGCAACAGGGAGACTCATGGGTCCCCATACAACCCCTTTTCATTCAGATATGTTGAGGTCAGAGGTTTGAAAATAACCATACCAGTTTTTCCATTGCCAAAATGCAGCCTAACTTTGGAGCATTAGGTGTTAATGCTACACAGGGCGTGTTTTGGCAAGAGAAGTAGTGGGATTAAGCATCGGGGCAGCTGGGGTTCAGGAGGTGGAGTGGGTCGTCCACTAATCAGAAGGTTGACAGTTCCTACTGCTGCATGTCGAAGTGTCCTTGACACTTGACAAGATACTGAACCCCAAATTGCTCCAGATGCTGTGCATTGGTGTGTGTGTTGGCTCTTAGTCTAAAAGATTGTCCTGATCAGAAGATTATATCCAACATCTCAAAATATTCAGTCCAGATTAGGTAAAGTAGTGTTATCCTTCAGATGGAAAGAAAAAATAACACGCAGGATTCTTCAAGGCTGAGAGTAGAATAGAGCTTTATTGTCTTAACAGACAAACAAAGCCCGAGGCATCCATGGAAAGACTGAATTTCTCATCTCAGAGCATCTCCTTTTATACTCTTCAGGGTTTTACAACATTGTCATAGGTCCTGCCCTCTTCTCAACTTTTACTGACCCATGACATAATGGTGTCACTTTCCATGACATACCCGCATATGCCAGGGCAAATCTATCAAACTGGGGATTTTCCTCTCTATTGGTGTCTTGTCTGTGTCCCGTTCAGCCATCTCACACCTGCTTGGGCCTGTGCTCTCTTATCAGTAACCTTGCAGGCTTCTTGGCCTTCAGCAGTATGCCAAGACCTTTTCTTTTTACTCTTCTTTCTCCATGATTACACCATTAACATCTATTTTGCTGTACTTCTATTTAAAAAAAACCTATATTACCATTTTCTTACACCATTTTGTCATAGATGTCTTTTACTGTATCTTTTAAAACTTTATAAACTTTACAATATGACAAGAAGCTTGTTTTACAATCATTCACATACTTTTGGTACAAACATTACTTGTTTCTTGCTACAACTACACATTCGATATTTTTCTACACATTAAATCAAACTTTCACTAAAACCATGGTGCTTACTACTTCATTAACAGTGTGCTCACATAAAATCATCTTTACTTAAAACATAGTGCTCTTTTACTCTAATTCTAGTGTTCTGTGTGATTAACACATAGTGCTTATAACATAATTATCAGCACTTTATAATTAAAACTTATTGCTCTCTATCTGATTTCCAGCATATTGTGTAATTACTTAATTTCCAGTATTTTGGCATTCACCAGCAAGGATTAAACACCAAATTTTTATACTACATGTGACTGAATTACTTTTAATTTGTGAGGGCCTTTATCATCACGTGTATGAACGGGTGAATGTGGCATCTAGTGTACGGCAGTTTGAGTGGTTGAAAGACTAGAAATCCAGCCCAATCCAATCCAACTTTATTTGTTAAGCACTTTAAAACAACCAAAGTTGATCAAAGTGCTGTACAGGAGAATAAATAGAAATAGAAAGGCAGTCCATTTGCCATAATTACACCTGAGTGGCAGCTTTTGAAGTTGCAGTATAATTGTAGTCACATCAATATGTTGTGTAGTAAGAGTGAAAGACAGAGTACTATAACTTTATCATACTGCTATAAAATTCAATACAAAGACTTTATGGATCGAGGATGTTTTTACATTTTCTGGCATCAAACAGGCGAAAATTGCATGCATGATAAACAATGCAACAAAGTTTTAGCCAAACAAGAAACGGTAGAGTATAAGTATATAGACCACTGGTTCTCAAACTATAGTGCGTGTTCCACTAGTGGTACACGGAAGAATCTCTGAAATATATTTTTTTAAATGACACAACTTAATGAAAAAAACCTACAAAACTGTCAAAATATGTTTGAATGAAAATACTTAATGTATAACGTTGCTGAAATGTAATTTAAAATAAGTTTAGCATTTCCTGTAATATTAAGTTTCAATGTTCTTTCTTAGATTTTGTGCTGGGCAGGTAGTATAGCTTGTATAGCGCCTTTCTAGTCTTCCGACCACTCAAAGCCCTTTCACACAGCGATGGCAAAGTCCATCAAACAGAAACTAACTCATTCATACACTGATGCTGTGCATCAGGAGCAATTTGGGGGATACTTCATCACGTGGCAGGAGCAGCCGGGGATCGAACCAACAACCTTCCAATTAGGAGGACAACCTGCTCTGCCTCTGAGCCACAGCCGACTCACTTGCACATGAGGACATATTCACTCTGACTTCTTTCAGATTTTATGTTAAATAATACTCGAGGAAGCATTTTCTGTACATTCTGAAGGAACTGTGTGTCTCTCTGTGTAGATGCCAGGTGCTGGTCCATGGGTGTGAGCAGACTGGATATATTTTACAGACGGCTGCTCCTAACCAAACTCTTCATAGGGGGATGGGGCAAGCCTGAAGACCTCAAGAGGTATGGAAAACCGAGAACACAACAGAACACAGCTAGAGATATCACGTCACTGGACACGTGCCCATGTGAGCAGTGTGTGACGGCTACCTCGCTGAACTGCTGCAGCTCACACAGGTCTGGTTTGGGGAGAACCGTTTTGAAACTTAGAATTCTGCGTTTTGGCCGCAGCCAAAACGTGACGTACTGCGAGTTGATCGACGCTCATTGCCTGCGCATTTTTGACTTGTCCGGTAAAACAGTAAACGGTACACTAAAATGTTTCTGAAGTGATTTTAAATGAGAAATGGGCAACGCAGTAACATAATCTTGCTTCGTATTTGATCAGCACTGCCTAGTTTGACAGTTTGATTTGACTTTCATGCGCTGAGATGGACAGACTTACTGAGAATGACCTCTCAATCAAGAGATAGCCCCACCCAAAAGCATACCCTGTATCGTCTAGTTTACTCTAAATGCGATACCATATTAAATAAATGAACATCATAATATATTAAAGAAGACGTAGAACTATTGATTGAGGCCATAGACTCATTAGAAACTGTTTACTGAGCTCATAAATGAAGTGACAAGTCTGCTCATTCTCTATTAGAGTGAAAGGCATCGGTGTGTTATTGCAGTCAATGGAGCTCCCCCTGCTGGCCTTTACATAGAATGGTTTTAAGACACTGCCGTGTTGGCTTCACTTTTCAGATCCAGAAGCTCTGTCCATACCTCTGCTAAATGCTGTGACATTCATTCACTGGTAGACAGCCTAATTTTAATTAATAATAAAACATTTTTATTTATTTATTTTAAAATTTTTATTTAACCTTTATTTAACCAGGAAAAGTCCCATTGAGTTACAGTAACTCTTCTCCCAGGGAGTCCTGGCCAAGACTGGCGGCAAAAAGTTTAATATATATAATATATATATATATATACACACACACACACACACACACACACATAAAAGACAGGACAAAGGTTACATACTACACCACAAATCTCAGTACATACACTATACGTACTAGAACACAAACAAGTTGACTTTAAAAGGTTTTTAAAAGTATTGAAAGGTGGAAGCGATTCTAGATTTAGGGTGTTTTGAAATTCATTCCAGACATTTGGTGCATATGATGAGAAAGCTGTTTTTCTGTTCTTGTTGATGGAATAACTAATAGTATTTTTTCTGACGACCTTGTCCTGTAAACACTATTATGGTGAGAAAGCAAATTTGAAATGTAGAGGGGTAATTTACCCATTAGAGCTTTAGCAATGAAAATCAATAAATGGAATTTCCTTCTGAGGGAGAGGGAGGACCATTGACAGTTTCATACAGAATGCAGTGGTGAGTCCTGGCTGCTGCACCTGTAATGAAACGCAAGGCTGAGTGGTATAATACATCTAGTTTTTTTAAATAAAGATGAAGAAGAGTGCATATAAATTAGGTCACCATCAACACTGATAAGAATGTGCTCTGCACCAACCTTTTCCTTGCTGAATAAGGAAAGCACTTCTTTAATCTAAAATAAAAACCTAACTTGAGTTTTTTTAAAAGGCTCTCAATATGGACCCCAAAAGACAATTTCTCATCCAACCAAACACCTAGGTATTTGTAGAAAGTTACTCTCTCTATTGGAGTACCATTTTGTGTTGAAATAGTGAAATCTATAGGAGAATGTGAACGTGTAAAAACAATTGATTTTGTTTTTTTAGCATTTAATACCAATTTTAATCCTACCAGAGATTTTTGTACCTGACTAAAGGCAGACTGTAAATGATGAATTGCTTCTTTCAATGACTTAGCAGAAGTGTACAAGATAGTATCATCTGCATAAAGATGACCCTTTGTTTGATTCAGATTCATACCGAAATTATTTATATAAATAGAAAATAAAATAGGACCCAAAACTGATCCCTGGGGGACATCCATTTTTACTTCTAGCAAGGATGAGGTACAGTTATCGAATGCCACACACTGAGTTCTATCACTCAGGTAATTAGAAAACCAATTTAGCACAGTGCTACTAAAACCTATGCTTTGCAGTCTTTGCAGTAAAAGATGATGGCCAATAGTATCAAAAGCTTTAAATAAGTCAATGAAAAGAGCAACATAAGACTTTTTGTTATCTAAAGCATTAACAATATCATTTGCAACAGAGGTTACAGCCGTAATTGTACTGTATCCTTGAAACCAGACTGAGTAGGACTTAAAATACAGTTGTCAGCTAAAAAATGTTTTAGTTGCTCATTTATAAGAGATTCAAACCGTTTAGCCAAGACAGATAGTCTGGAGATTGGCCGGTAGTTGTCTAAGGCCAACGGGTCTCCACTTTTTAATAGTGGGAGAACAAATGCAGATTTCCATGACTTGGGGATAGAACCACTGTATAGACTAAGATTGAAAATGGAGGAGATAGGACCAGCAATCAAGTTTGTAGCAGTTTTGAGGAAATAGGGCTCAATCTGGTCTGGGCCAGCAGACTTTTTACAGTCCAGGCCTAACAGTGCCTTTCGTACTTCAGAGACAGATATAGGAGTAAAGTTGAAATTATTCAAACTTACATTAGACGAGTCTGTGATGGAGGTTACACTATCCGTAGGGTTGGCTGGGAGTGTTGACTGAGTAGCTATTCCTGCATTAATAAAGTGCTTGTTGAAAGTATCTACTATATTTTGTTTACCCCTTACTTCACCCTGGCTTGTTATTATAACTTCAGGGATAGTGGGGGGTGGCACGTCACCTGAAGAAGATTTAATTGATTTCCCAAATTTTTTGGGGTCATTAAGGTTTTCATTTATTCAATTCAGATAATGTTCACTTTTTGTACTTTTTATTAGCACAGTTCTGAGACCCAAGATGAAAGTCTAATTATATATACTGTCAATGGTATATACGGGAAAAAATTCTGCAGTGTATCTTTTTAATTTGTGTCTGGAGGAATGTAAACAGCAGTAACACCATAGGGATCATAATGTGGTTTCATCTCCACATAAAAAGAAGTTTTCATCTACTTTGACATCGAGAACCAAACATCACTGCATCGTTGAAAACACAGAATCCACCTCCTCTTGTCCTGGGCTCTGTTGGCCCGGAACACAGTCCACCCATTAAGTGCTGGATCTGGGATGTTGATGGAGCAGGTCTCTGTAAAGATGTGGGCACAACTGTCTCTGATTTCCTATTGTTTGGCCAGTCTCATTTCGTCCAGACCGGACAGCATTCTTCAAATGCTGTTGTGTAATCAGTCATGAAACAGTTGGCTCTGTACTGATGTTGTACTGATATGTTCCTTACATGTGTTTTGCAGACTCTTTGAGTTCCGTAAAGTCATTGGAGACAGAGAGAAGTGCAAGTCTCTGGTGCCTAAGGACTATCCAGTTTACATAAACAAGGTACTCCATAGAGGTGGGAATCTCTAGAAACCTCACAACTGATGGATTTGATTCTGATTCACAGGGCTTTGATGCAGTTATAAAGCAAAAGATGTTGTGTTTTTGTGCAGTAAGCAGTGAGGCCCGGCCCCAAAAATACTTTGCTCCGGTGTTTGTGGGTTTTTTCAACCTAATTGTCTCAAATTCAGTTCCTTGAATTGCTAGTTTAACACAAAATCAATGAATGAAGTTCATGCTCTTGCAGAGGTCCACCATTTTCTTTGCAGCTAGGTACTTTTGAAATTATTACAGGCGGTCATGTCGAGAATTTAATTTTTAATTTCCAATTGTTGAGTTTCCTGCAACGCGGCATAATCGTTCAAGAGAGAATCACACATCTAAGAATCAAGTTTTTGTCCCACCCCTAGTACTCCATCTGTTTTCTCTTGACTAGTATAACTATTTTTTGTAGATATGTATTTGTTTGTGCCTTTGTGTCCAGACTGAGGAGCACACTGACTGTCAGATACACGATGGGTTCTTCATATCTCCTCTGGAGCACTTGGTCCCTGGAATCCTGCCGCCGGAGGCTGTCAAAGCCAGGTACAGAGTATGATGTCGACCTACTTCTACTGCTAATGTGATGATGTCACAGCAGCACATATGAGCCCTGTGATCACTGGTAGCTGTAAGGGAACTGTCTTTCTTGTTAAATGCAAGCTTAGGAATGGCAATTACAAAACTTGAACAGAAAGTTGCAACAGATAGAATACATATTAACAAAGCAAATGTAATCCAAAAATCTATGAGGTCTAATACTGATGTAGTGATGCTAATAAGAAGTAAATTAAAGTGTTAGAGAAAACCAGAGAAAACAACAAGCAGAACACAAACTTGGTTGGGTATGATTACCAAAGACAGGCTTTATTGAAAACCAGCTGAAGAAACAGTGATGTGACGCTTCTGCTGGCAGTGGTGAAAGGATAATGTCTGAGATCCAGACAGTGTGGCTGATAGGAAGGAGCAGGCAGGTAGCTGAAGAGAAGGTGATGATCCTGAGGCACAGGAAAAAACAAGATTAAGTATGTCAGCACAAGGGGGAAAAAACATATCTAACTGGTCAAGAGAGTTGCTACCAGGCATGTAGAGACAATGATCTGGCAGAGAGTGGATGAAGAACCAGAGTTCAAAAATGTGTATCAGGTATCAGGAGAGTGTTCCCACCTGCTTCAAGAAAGCCACCATCGTTCCTGTACCTCAAGTCTGTAGTGTCTGGTCTAAACGACTACTGCCCTGTGGCACTCACACCCATTGGGATGAAGTGCTTTAAGAAACTGGTTCTCCAGCACATAAGTAATAACATCTCCTCCAGCCTGGACCCTCACCAGTTTGCATTCAGAACCAACAGATCTACAGAGGATGCCATCTCCACTGCTCTCCACTCAGTCTCAGCCTCAGGGCTGTGTGCTCAGCCCCCTCCTGTACTTGTTAACTTTTACAGAGGAGTGATAGAAAGCTGGAAACATCACAAACAAGTGAAAAACTCCCAGAAGATTATTGGTACTCAGCTACCCAGCATCAGTGATATCGGTTATGCAGTGTGCCTGTGCAGAGCCCAAAGGATACTAAAAGACAGAACACTCCCTAGCCACTACCTGTTCACCCTGCTGCCATCTGGGGAGAGATACAGAAGTGTCCACTGCTGTACCACCAGAATTAAAGACAGGTTTTCCCTCAGGATGTGAGACTGCTTCATTCATCCTCTGCACTGTATAAATATTTGTTGTTTTGTTTTGTGTGTAGTATAAAGGGACTACATCTTGAATTTATTTGTACAACCCTGTGTTGTTAAATAAATTAACCTTGAATAAATCAAATGCCAGGTCTTCACTTTCCATGAAAAAGGTGCCAAGTGGGTGGTGTTTTGGGGTGGAGGAAGTTGTAGCAAACCCAGGCCAGACAATGGTGAAGCTTACTGATGTTTTAAAAGAGTTTTCTGAAATAATCATAATACTACAGCTGCATATAGCTTTGTTTCACAAAGCCAAATATGTTATGTAATCACTGATAAGGATAAGTCAATCTCAACGTGTGTGTGTGTTTTTTCAGGTTCCAGTTTATAGTTCCTAAGAGGTGGCAGAAGAACAGACCAGTATGTATCCACCTGGCTGGGACCGGAGACCATGTAAGGCTCTTAACCTTTTAACCTCAACATAGCTTGAACCTTAGTGTGCGCAGCCCCCACCAAACAGAAAATACTGGACAAGATATGGCCAAACAGTACTGCAGTCCTGATATTGGCCTTGTTTTTCTTATTGATTTTCTTTATTAGTATGTGTTTTTATATGAATAAGAAAGTGTTTAAAGGACCAGTGTGTAGGATTTAGTGGCATCTAGTAGTGTAGTTGTGAATTGAAAAACACAAAGGCACCTATCTAGAGCCAATGTTTGACCATACTGTCAATGATTATAACCTACAAGAAAGGTGGAGCTGGCTTTGAGAAACAGGCCTCAGACAACAAAAACCCATGAGCAACAAAAAATAAAATCTTGATATTGGTATGCAGCAAATGTATGGGAACAAATTAAGTGATCATGATTTGGACCCCAAATCCTTCTAGCAGCAGATTATTTTGATGTTTTGATGTTTTGATATTTGTGTGTGTGTGTGTGTGTGTGTGTGTGTGTGTGTGTGTGTGTGTGTGTGTGTGTGTGTGTGTGTGTGTGTGTGTGTGTGTGTGTGTGTGTGTGTGTGTGTGTGTAGTTTTTCTGGCGCCGGCGGACCCTGATGGCCAGGCCCATGATCAAAGAGGCAGGAATGGGTTCACTGCTTCTAGAGAACCCTTATTATATCCTTCTATTGTTTTTTCACATCTGCTTTTTTTTTATTTCCCTTGAAAGTAACTGATAAACTATATCTTCTTTATACTACTGTGTTTAAAGTTATTAAGGCATTTTTACTACGTTCGCAAGGATTAAATCAAAAGTAATAGCATTTTTCGAATGTGATCATTTGAAGCAAGTAATTAGTATGATAAATGGTCAAATGCTGAATGTTAGCTTGCTTTAAAGGGGCAATTCAGTGATATAGTGTTGCACTTCCATCAAGTTGAGACTCACAACAGACAAATGATTAATCCAATAACTTGAATACCTTGTAGGCTGACTGGCTTAGCACTGCTGATGCTTTGGAAACAATAATTAAATTCAATTAAATTCAATATTATTTGTATAGCGCCAATTCATAACAGAAGTTTTCTCAGGACACTTTTCAAATAGAGCCAAGGTCTTGCTCATGGTGGTACTGTTGGGTCTCTGTAAATAATGTTATAAGGAGTTCAGTCTAGACCTGCTCTATTTGAAAAGTGTCCTGAGATAACTTCTGTTATGAATTGGCGCTATACAAATAAAATTGAATTGAATTGAACCACCACATGGAACTAGCAAGAGGAAAGAATTGAGAAATGTGTCCTGACAAGTGTGACCATGTTTTTATTCCCTGACTGACTGTTTACATGGCTACCGTAAACCCAAAGACCAACTGTAAGTTAACTACCCTTCACACACACACACACACACACACACACACACACACACACACACACACACACACACACACACACACACCACATAGTAATGTGATTGATTTAATTGAAAAGAATCAACAGTTTAATCAAATATTCAATTAATTGTTTGCTTGTGATGATTCAGATACCAAACTAGAGTTTTTTGAAAAATATATCACACTTTTTGTTTCATTTGTTTTTTGCTGGAGCAGCTGCACTACCCATGTGAGGTGTTTGTCTCAGGCGTGCCTGCAGCGCCGCTTCACTAGACAGTCTTGCCTATTTTTTCAATGTGCTGTTACCAGCCATAATCTGTTCAGAGTCATATTAACCTTATACCACCAACATATACACTTTTCACTATCTGTAGAATATGTCACAGACATTTTTTTTTTAACTCAACACCTCCTGTATCTGTTTCACATTAAAAGCTGGTGTTTTTTGTGGACAGAATCCATTAATTTTTAATGAGGCTTTTATTTATTTATAGAAATGCTCTCTGCATGGACACACAGACGTGCAAGCTGCAGCAATTCAATGAGACAGCCGTCATGCACTGCTCACGCGTGCAGTGTGTCCAGACTGTAAGATAAAATATAGGTATAAAAAAAGTTAGATTTAAATCAGTTATGTCCTGGTTAAACAAGGTTATGAATCTGACCAGACACGATTTTTGTACCTAATCTTACACAAAAGCCAAGTGAATAAATGTATATTTTTGGATACTCTGTGCTACAGACACGTCAGTCTCTACCACAAACTTATAACAAGTCAGTACCCTGCCTTAGTGGCAGTGTGTAAGCAAGGGTGGAAAATTTAGGAGAGAATGAGTCAAACCCAGAGCAACTTTTGTCCTGCAGTTACACTTCTGGGAGTGCAACTGGACCTTTTTAAAGCTTGAACTGGGATTTATTCAGTGTAAAAGTAAACAGGGACGTTATTTGTGAGCATTTTAGGCGGTCCAGTCTAAAGAATGTGTCCGACCTGTTTGTGATGGGAGGGGCTTTGATCCTGGAGTCAACAGTGCTTCTCCGTTGGCTGGAGAGAGAAGGTTACTGGCCACTAGGAATGACTGGCATCTCCATGGGAGGATATGTGAGTCACCACTTTTATTAAACCCATATATTCTACCAGTATTGCACTAAATAACTATTCAACATGATCACATCCTGAAGACCCATAGTCCCCTGCACCTTGCTTAACCTTTGAAAGTAAATATTTTACATGCAAGCCCATGTACAAATACAAGTGGGTCCAGTATAATATCCAAAGACCATATTTTTCATGAAGTTCCTTGTGTGTCTTTGTGTCCAGATGGCATCCCTGGCAGTGACTAACTGGCCAAAGCCCATCCCTCTGGTTCCCTGTTTGTCCTGGTCCACTGCCTCTAGTGTCTTCACCACGGTAACACACTTGTTCTACTTGAGATCAGTAAGGAGGCATTCGGTTATTAGCAGCTTTAGTTGACATAATAACCAAACATTGTAGTAGAGGTGCTTTAGAGGGTTTTTCTCTATTTACTGGTTGATGAAAACAGTGCAATAATGAAATATTGCACTAATGACAAGCCAACTGCAGGGGATGGCAAGCTACCGCCTTAACCGCACGTGATGTCACATCATCACATCACGTTCAGTATTTGTTTTTAAGACAGAAAAGGCTAAAGAGACTTGACACAGCAGATCGCTGTCTGAAATGCAGTTCTACTCAGTATACCTCAATTCACAGCCCAGGATTACAAAACCACACAAGAAAAAGTCATGCAGCCCCCGTCTTACTTGCTCTGGAAAAACTTGTGACCGGAAACACCATCAGAATCGTGGTAATTATCCCAGTTGGTCTTTTGATGCAACAAGTGACCCAGTGAACTTTCAGTCAAATATGTTAAGTAACAGGATCAAAGACTCAGGAGGCAGGAGGAGGGGAGAGTGCAGGTGGTTAGTACAAGCAGGTACTGAGATTAAACATTATCCCACTGTACCCCTTACAGAGTAATTGGCAAAAACAACAAAAATGACAATAATACTGCATACTCCGCTGTTGAAATGCCCTAAATCACTGCAGCGGAAATTCCTTCAACTTCTTTAGATCCTTGATTAGATACATTTTACAAACAGTAGTCTGATGGTTGGAGTATGAAGATCACATACCAAATATTCTTTTCAATTTTTTAACTAAAATGGCCTTCCTGTCAACATAAACTGTAGCAATAGTCTTAAGTTTGATGAGATTTTATAAATCCTTTGTATATGCTCTGGCTTGAATGTTTCACCAAAATGTCAGACAAAGGACATATGGTAACCTGAGGTAAATTTATTCATTTATTTTGAAAGTGCTGACATTTTGAAGTTATAGTTTTTTTTTTTTTTTTTTATTGAAACAAATGGAAAATTTGATCATAGATGAGTTTTTCAGAGCAAGAAAGTCAAATACAAACACTATGACATCTGATATTTCTGTGATCATGGGATACATTTTTTGGGGTTCCTCTCCATGAAGAAAATACACCAGCTCAGCATAATGGTCCTCTCTCATTCATAGTGCTGCAACTTAAAAATCCACCTTAAAGAATAGCTTCACAAGTTTGTCTTAAAACAATACTTGACTAGTGTCTATATGGGTTATTAGTTGCTGTAATGTCAGGGCACAGGTAGTACTGGTAAAAAGATTAGTTTTCAGGTCTAGGGTTTTTAATTACCAAAAAATGCCATCTGGTTGTACCAGCTACTAACAGGCCATACACACAGAAATGCTTTAGGTTGTCAATGAACATGAATAGAATACTGGCCTTATAAGCTTCACTAACTTTCTCCCGTCGCTCCACTCTATGTGTGAGTATTGCTTTAAGACAGCCTTGACAAAATGTCAATGTATTGTTTGACATTAGAATGAATTGGTTTGGATGCAACTCTGCAGAAATGTGCTCTGAAATTCTGAAACTTTAACTTTTTCTACCTTCATCACTAAAATTGAAGCCCAGTGGCACTTTGTGTGTGTGTGTCTGTTTTCTATCACATATTGTCCCCAAGTAAGTAAGTAAGTAAGTGTGTGTGTGTGTGTGTGTGTGTGTGTGTGTGTGTGTGTGTGTGTGTGTGTGTGTGTGTGTGTGTGTGTGTGTGTGTGTGTGTGTGTGTGTGTGTGTGTGTGTGTGTGTGTGTGTAGGGAGTGCTGAGTAAAGCAGTGAACTGGACGGAGTTGGAGAAGCAGTATGCCATTAACTCAGTGTATGAAGAGGAAATCATTAAACTGTTGGAGTACTGTGGGGTATGTTATCCTTCAACTTGAAGATCACTCATACTAAGTGACTGAACATTTTTATACAGTGTTTGAATTTCTCCAGGGAGGCACAATTGGCTATAAAAAAAGGTAATATGGTGTTTTTGCTCATATGTGACTGAGATCAGATCTTTTTTATTTAAATCACATGGAATCTGGCCTTTGCCATGTTCACATGTGGTCCAAATCAGATACAGGTCATATTTTTTGCAATATGACCTGTGTGAAAAGTCATATCAGAATTCATGGGACTCTTTTGTCACTCTAGATCTACATTTGTCATGTAGGTCATTTCAGGACCTAAGGCTTGCAGTGTGAACATAGCCTTTGTTTAATGTTAATATGAAGCAACACTTCAGGTTTTTTTGTTAAATAATGAGACCACATTAGAAATCTTTAAGCTCCGTTGGGCTCTGGTAACATGTGAGGGGCATTTGTCAATATTTTAGTCAGAGAAATTTTGCTCTTTTAAAGAAGAATCAGAGAAGCAACAAGGATTGTGCTGGAGAACTAACCCTCCCTTACCAAACACATACATGAGCACACACTGGCATTAATAAGAACATTGTTTCTGTCTTTTGATCTGTATGTCCACATCTGTCAGGCTGATTCCTTTAAGATGGGTCCAGAACTTATGAAGAACACAGACTCTTTAGAGCATCTTCTAGGCCTGTCCGGAGAGGACAGTGTGTCAGTGGGCCACAACTCCAAAGCTGGAGGAGAAGCGGAGGCTGGACGTGACCTGTTGATTGGTAAAGGTCCTGAGGGGGGCGGGGCAAGAGACAGAGTACACCAGTTCTTATCATCAGTGAACAGCAGTGGGACAAGCTTGGAAACTCCATCAAGGTAATCACTTTAAGTTATTGTGAACAGATGTGTTTGTTTGCAGTGGTTTAAGGACATTCTTCAAATATGTTTCATCTAGATAGCACTGCTCGAGTGGTAGCCCGTTGACACAGGAAAGTTTGTATTTGGTGGTTTTTGTATGTGTCTAATTGCTTTGATTTTACTGTTTTTTACCTCATTTTAGTTTACTTTGTCACCAAAGATGGATATTATGTTGTTTTAAACCTTGCTTTCCCTTTTTCCTATACACACACACACACACACACCAGCAACTCTGCACCTCTGCTGCACACACACTGGCTAGCCCTGCTGTGGGGGAGGGACCGAAATACGCAGACTGTGGCTGTGTTCCAATTCAGGGGCTGCATCCCTGAATTGAGCTTTTTTCTATACAACGTTGCACAACAGAAAATGAAAAGAAAATTGTTTCCCCCCGATTTTATTATTTTTGAGATTGTTTGGCCCCAAAATCGTAATCATGATCAAATTTCGATTAATTGAGCAGCCTTAGTGCAAAGGGATTTACCTGTGGAAACTGTAATAGATCAGTGAATGATTTTGTAGACCAATAAAAAAAATAAATGCTGTTGCGGAGATGATAATTCACTATTAAAACATTGTGTTATCACAACACAACCTAATTACCATACTATGTGGGAATGAACCCACAGTGTGTTCCAGTTTAAGTCATTTTTTGTTGTTTGTTTTGTCTAGCTAAATGTTTGAATGCTCAGAATCCTACTGTTACCTGTCACTCCAGTGACACTGTTTTCATCATTTCATTTCATCTAAAATCTTTTTTCTTTTATTGTAAGCCTTCACGCAAACAACATACTGAATGGTATGAAGACGGATTCAGCCAAATGCTGTCGACCATCTTTACACAGAGAGTCTATAGGCTTCATGAAGGGAGTGATGGATGAATGTACACACATGGCCAACTTCTCTGGTGAGTTTAATGGTGCAGTATAAAGAACTATATTAAACTATACTATACTTATACTATACTATAATATAACATACTATACTATACTATACTATACTATTATATACTATACTATACTATACTATACCATGAGATAATATACTATGCTTTTTTTTGTTGCTTTTATGTGAACATAGAAAGGGTGAGGTATTACAAAGTAAGGATAAGCCAAAAGAAAAAGTACAAGTACAGGTCATTGAAAGGTCTAGTTAGAAAAATAAAAAAATACAGTACACATATACATATATATTATAGATCTACATGGTTGTAACAGTCCCATGTTTTCCAATATTTGTCTCCCTTCTTCTTTTGTAATCGAATAGTTAAAGTCATTTTCTCCATAATGCGTATAGAGTTGATTATATTGATAAGAAGGGTGATGGTAGGAAGGTTCCTCTGGAGCCAGCATTTTGTAATCGCCCTTTTTACTGGCGGCCAGAAAGATCTTCAAAAGGTATGAGTCACTCTTATTGAGATCCTTAGGAATATGTCAAGTTACATTGAGGTAAAAGAAAAGTCAAATCTCAGATCCAGGATCTCTGAGACCAATCGGCCCACTTCTTTCCAGAAAGGCAACACATAAGGGCATGACCAGAAAATGTGAGCATGAACTGCTGAAACTGATCAACACTCCCTCCAGCAGGAGCACTAAGGCCCACTAAACTTGGATTTTTGGTTGGGGGTAATAAAAAAACTGAGTTAGTAGAGGTAGACTGGGTCTCCCATATTTGAAGCCACACATCCTCAGAGATTACTATATTGGTTTCCTTTTCCCAGCGCTCCCTTATATAGTTAGTTGAATTTTTATATAATGTATGTTAAGGAAAAACCCTTGTATAATTTGCCTATGATACCTTTCGTGTTTTTTGAACTATAAGCATCAGTAAGTATCTGGGTTATTCTTGAGGGCTCAGTAGGATCAGAGGGCCTTATTTCCTTTAAAAAAAATTGTCAAATCTGTAGGTACCGGTAGAAGTCCTCTTTGCCCAGCTCATACGCCTGGCATAAGTCCTCAAAACTATTAAGTCTTCCATTTGTTAATATTCAGCAGAAGGCAGTAATACCTCGCTTAGCCCATTGTCTGTACCTGTGGTCCTGTGACGCTGGAAGGAACTGTGGATCGTATGCCGGCCAGCTCAATAATCTTATCTCTCCGTGTAGCTGAAATCTCTTCACCACCTTCAACCATACCCTCACAGAGAAAGCAACAAACTGATTTTGAAGCTGGAGAGCCTGTTTAAGAGGCACCTCCACTGGAAGTGCTGTGAATAGGTATAATAATCTTGGAAGAATGTTCATTTTAATTAGGGCTGCTCGATTATGGAAAAAATAATAATCACGATTATTTGGGTCGAAATTGAAATCACGATTATTCAAACGATTATTTTTTGTTCTTGTTCGACCAAACTGCGCTGTAATCCTCCTGCTGTCATGTTCCATTCAGACAAGTGTAGCTGGCCGCGTTACCTGTTCCAACGAAAACAACGTGATTGACTCATGTGCAGTGCATGCTGTGGGGGAGGGACGGAAATACGCATGCGCGAAATACGCAGACTGTGGCTGTGTCCCAATTCAGGGGCTGCATCCCTGAATTGGGACACAGCTTTTTTCAATACAACGTTGCACAACAGAAAATTAAAAAAAAATTGTTTCCCCCCCGATTTTATTATTTTTGAGATCGTTTGGCCCCAAAATCGTAATCATGATCAAATTTCGATTAATTGAGCAGCCCTAATTTTAATTGTCCTTATTCTGACACCGAGGTCAAGGGAGCAAGCCCCACCTATCCAAGTCATCATACACTTTCCTGTTAACCTGTTTATAATTAACCTCAAACAACTGTGACATGTCCTTCGTAAGAAGCACTCCCAGATATTAATGTGCTGCTGATGCCAATCAAACGGTTGTTCCTCCATCAGCTTTGGAGAAGGTGCAAAATTAAAGGCTAAAACTTGAGTTTTCTGCTTGTTCAATTTATAACCTGAAAATCTCCCATATTTCCTGAGGATCTTCATCAGCAGTGAAACTCCATATTCAGGATTTTTAAGTGTTATAAGCACGTTGTTAGTGTATAAGTAAATTTTGTTTTCTACTCCCTCTATGGAAATACCCTCCAGAGCTGACTCCTCCCTGATAGCCTGGGCCAGATGTTCAATAAAAAGGTTGAAAAGTGATGGGCTGAGTGGGCAGCCTTGTCTACATCCTCATTGTAGCATTATAGAATTTGAGAGACTCCCATTCATTTTTATCCTCGCTAATGGGGAGGAGTAAAGTGTTCTTATACATTGTATAAAAATTTCACAAAAGCCAAATCTTCTCATAACTTGAAATAAGAAGTCCCACCCAACCGAATCGAAGGCCTTCTCAACATCAAGACTGAGAAGAACCGCACTCAATTTTGTATCAGAAATGTGGTTAATAATATGGAGGACTCTTACAAAGCCCGTCTGGTCCTCATCTATCAGGAAAGGCATCAATGTTTCCAATATCCTGGCCAATATGGCTGCATATAATTTATAATCTGTATTTAAAACACTGATTGGTCTATAGCTCTTACATTCTGTTTTATCTTTTCCCTCTTTTGGTATGACTGATATAAATGCTTCCCTCCATGATGGTGGGAGGGCTCCTCCCTTAAGTATATAATAAAAAGGATTTTAACAAGGGGAGCAATGACTCTTTCATACATTTATACCATTCTGATGGGAATCCATCTTGTCCACCCATTTGTTACTCCTGAGCCCTGAAATTGCACTATCAATTTCTTCTGTTGAGATTTCAGACACAAGTTTTTCATTTTAGGCTTTACCGATGGAGGGGAGATCTAATGAGGTCAGAAATGTTTTAATTGTTGACTCGTCTGCCTTATCAGACTGTGTATATCATTTGTAGTATGTTTCAAATGCTTTCTGAATACCCTCCAATTTAGTAGTTACCTTATTTGTTTAGGGATCCCTGATTCTTTGAACTGTACTTTCTGCTTGTTGTTTCCTAAGTCTCCATGAAAGTAGTTTAGATGCTTTAGGACCTGCCTTATAATAGCTTTGCTTCATGAATGTAAGTTTTTTCTCAATTTCCTCACTAAGAATCTTGTCGATCTCCTGCTTAACTGGTCTCATTTGTTTAAGTATATCAATGCCTTTACTGATACTGTGGGCTTGTTCCATGTTCTTTAGTTGTTTTTGTAGGCCTAGCAACTTTTCAGCTTTAATCTTTTTTAGTCTTGCAGACTTAGCTATGACTTTCCCTCTAAGACAGGCTTTATATGCATCCCACAGAATGGCTGGGTTAACCTCCCAATATCATTATGTTCCAAGTACATTTTTAATTCATCAGCCATTTCACTTTTAAATGTGTGTTTAGTCTCCATAGAGTAGTTTTTGGTTTCCCATCTAAATTTATTTTCAGGTTTAATCCAGTATGATCAGACATGTCCCTCTGTCCAATTGTGCAATCTTTCACTTTATGATAGTCTTTGTTAAACATAAAAAAGTAGTCGATTCTTGAGTGAATATTATGTCTTGCAGAGTAAAATGTGAATTCTTTATCAGATTGGTGTAGGTGCCGCCAGATATCTATCAGTCCTAATTCCTGCAGCATCTTGTTTATTTGTTTTTCTATGAGACTCTTTTTCCTCATTCTATTGGTTGTGTCTAGCCTGGAGTTCAAAAGTATATTGAAGTCTCCTGCACAAATATGTGTGACATATGTTTCTGCTGCAATCAGACTGAATATCTTTTTGAAGGAGGTGAGATCACTACCCGGTGGGGCGTAAACATTACACAAAGTAACTTCTTTATGTCCCAGTTTGCCCCTTATTAAAATGAATCTATCTTCTTTGTCTTTATGTTCTCAAACAAGTTTGAAGCATACATAATTTGAAATCAGTATAGCAACACCTCTTTTGTTCCCAGATCTATGGGAAGAGAAAAAGGAATTTCTGAAGCCCATTTTCTTCAGTTTCTCAAGTCAGATAAATGTGTTTCTTGCCAGAAAGCAACACTCATTTTTTCCCCATTTTAACTTGGCTATCATTTTGCTCCGTTTGATGGGACTGTTTATACCAGTAACATTCAACGATTGTATGTTGTGATACTGCATGATCATTAGCAAGTCTAAACCTGTATTCCTGTACCTGTAGAAATGTGAACCCAGACCTCAAATAACACAAACACAGTAGAACATTAACAGAACATGTAGTGAACAACATCCAAATACTGAACAGGGCTTCCAATTTAGAGTGGCCTTTGTCACCTCACTGTGAGGAGGGGGGAGCTGCCACAAGGTGGGGCCCCTCAGCTATTACAAAAAGACAAAAAAAAAAAAAAAAAATTACCAAAGAACATACTAAAAAGAGAAAATAGGGTGGCTAAGATTTAGTTTGCATTGATTATTGTTATTGCCCAAGTTTAAAGGGAGGTTATCAAATCAGTCACAACTATTAGTGTAATTGTTGCTACTGTTGTTGCTGTGCAACTGTCTCTCTCTCTCTCTCTCTCTCTCTCTCTCTCTCTCTCTCTCTCTCACCCCAACTGGTCGAGACAGACGACCACCCACCTAGAGCCGAAGGATCTGTCCTAGGTTTCTGCCTCTTAACAGGCAGTTTTTCCTTGCCCTTGTCGCCAAGTGCTTGCTCATGGTGGTACTGTTGGGTCTCTGTAAATGTCCTGCTCTTCATGTCCATACATAAACTATAATAATATAAAAGTTTTGTTTAATGAAGAGCATTATTCTCAGTTTGAATTAAGGGTGAGGGGAGTAAGACAAAGTTTCTTAGGAACTGAGCCAAGATTCATTACTCATCCATCACCGCATCCTCTCTGTCCACTCTTTGAAACTCCTTGAGCCTCTCATTAAGGTGGGTGATGTTAGGTTTAAAAAAATCTAATTGGTAAGGTTATAATATGTGCTACAGGGTTTAAGGAATTGAATATTGGTGGTTTTAAGTTAGGGATTTAAGTTTAGGCATTATAATATGTGCTACAGGGTTTAACTAACCATTAACGCATGTCGATGGCACAGCATTTGGAGCAATTTGGGGTTCAGTGTTTTGTCCAAAGGAGCCGGGGATTGAACCGCTGCATATCACAGGCAATGGATTAAAAAAATTTATTGGCACATTCACCTACCTCTGTAGCTACATATTTTGATTTACACTACTGCATTTGTATACATTCCATGCTGTCAATCATTATGTGAAACCCCCCTTTTTATAGATTCAAATAACTAATTAAATCCAAACTGATAAGAAAAATAAACACTTAACATCATTGTGATAAGAACTACCTAAAATGCCAGAAATATCTTTGGGAAAAATGTATTTGACTTTTATGTAGATTTTTTTGTTTACTCCATGTCCCATCTGCTAACATGGAGGCAGCAGGCTTTATTAATATTAGTCTATACTGCATTCAGTCAGGGGGCGATTGAGATGTTTTGGCTTCCCGTTTGAAGAGCTCACATTTTTACCTATATGTACTGTGTGGCATGTTTTGTATGCATTAAGAATCTAAAAAAAATTGTCCTTCCATCTGTCCTAGTCCCTGTAGACACCAGTCTCATTATTGTGGTCCAGGCCAAAGAGGATGCCTACATCCCTCGTACAGGGGTCCTCAGTCTGCAGGAGATCTGGCCAGGTTGTGAAGTCAGATATCTGAATGGAGGACACATCAGTGCATACCTGTTTAAACAGAATGTCTTCAGGTAAACTACTATCTCAAAGTCACACATCATTCATATTTGGCTCCTTTGTAGTATGACTTCTGGAGGTGAAGTGCTGCTGAGTGACCACTAACAAAATCAAAAAATGACCTGCAACTGGACTTTGACTTCAAAACCAGTGACTCATGACTGCACTTGGACTTCAGCCTTTTGACTTAGAATGCCTTGTTATCATCCACGAGCCAACCCATGTTAGTGTAGAGCAACAGACGGACAACAGAAGTTAAATCAGATTATCACATTCGTATGATCTTTTCCTAAAAAAAAGAAGAAGAAAAGGGCTTTGTTTTTTCCTTATTTCTTGGTAGATTAAAAACTTACAACAACCAGAATACACTGGGCCTTTTCGGGTAATGAGTCAGGCGGGGGTTGCTGAAGTGGAAACATCCCCAGCTCCTAGAAACAGCCGGTCAGAGCCACTAACATTAGGCTAAACCCAGATAGCACCTCCAGGTATCAACCTGGGGCAATGTATGTGCTAAGCTAGCCTTGGACGGGCCTCACAGTTGGTGCTACCCTTACTATCTGCTCACACATCCATAACCCTAACCCTAACCCTTTCCCCCGCTGACTTCGGATGTTTTTTCCAGTTTCTTTTCAGGATCCTGAAGTATGTCTCAAGCACTTCTCCTTGGTGTGACCTTGCACTTGTACCCCTTCCTCTGTGATTCACCAACTTCACCAGTGTACATTTAGCACAGCAGCACCACCAGCTCTGTATCCTCACCGGCTGCCCGTGCCTGACTCTTGGCTGTTGCGGCCTTCTTCCTGTATACGGCGTAATTCCTCTGCACTGCAGTCTGGGTCTGATTCCAGCTTTACATTATTAAATCGTTTACTTCCATATCTGCAGGAACATTGCCTTGGTGTTCCAGCAGTTGTTCTAGCCTGTACAGGATGTTTTGAAAGTAAACAGCAGTGTTTTGCAGTTAGATGTCCGGATTGTTTTGGGGTGTATCCTTGTGGTCTTAGTGATGATTTCGTGTATTGGTTTTCTACCAGGCTGTCAGAGTTGAGGAGATTGTGTTATTCTTACAGTAATTCAGTTTCTTAATGATGATTGTGGTAGGAAAGCAAGGTCTGCATTTGTTTTACATTGATTTTGTTAGTTGTGCTTTTGGGTCTTTTTGATTTAATATTGTCGTTGATTTGACAAGAAGTAGTTGAGACCTTGGTGCTTTGGTAATATTAAAGTATTTTTAGGCTATGTTGTGATCTACAATGTATCTCTCCATACACATTTTCCAAGCTAACTAATAAAAAAGGATCCAAGTTGAACTTTTGTGAAATAAAGGTCCACACAATAGCAGCTATGAGTCAGTCAAAATACAAATTAAAATAGCCTAAAACCAGAAGCCTCAAGAATCCATTTCAGAGCTGCGGAGTTGGAAGCTTCAGATAAGGTAATCAGATATTGCTATCCAGAATTCCTTCAATTTTATCGTTTTATCATACTGCTGTTGTGAGTGGTTCAATAAAAATGGGAAATAGGGATGTTGAGAGTGGGCGTCCTTGTCTGGTTCCCTGATGAAGTGTGAAGGATGGTGAGGTGACCCTCTTTGTGATGATTGGCCCTCGGTGAGTCCAGTTGATTTTAGCCAATGCTTTTTTGGCATCTAATGACACAATTATGGTTTTATTTGTTTTTGTTGTGATATATTGATTAACATAAAAAGCCTTTGAGGCGTCTGGTTAGCTCAGTCAGTAGAGCTGGCAACCCATATACGGAGTTGCTGCAGTGGCCCGAGTTCGAATCCGACCTGTGGCCCTTTGCTGCGTGTCATCCCCTCTCTCTACCCCCCTTCCCTGTCAATCTTCAGCTGTCTCTGTCCAATAAAGACATGAAAAGGCCCCAAAAAATAACTTGGGTGTTATCTGAAGCATACTGAATGCGTGGACTGTACACACTGCACCTACACACTGTACCTTTTTAAATAAACATTTCGCAAGTATTCAGTATTTCTGTAAATGTGTAAAATCGTATTATATTAGGTAAGCACTTGGACTGTACTTACATAGCGCCTTTATAGTCTTTTGACCACTCAATGCGCTGTACACTACATGCCACACTCACCCCATTCACACACATTCATACACTGATACTACAGTTAGTCATGGAGTTCCACAAGGTTCTGTACTTGGACCAATACTATTTACTTTATATATGCTCCCTTTAGGCAATATTATTAGGAATAACTCCATTAACTTTCACTGTTATGCAGATGATACGCAGTTACATCTATCGATCAAGCCCGATGAAATTAATCAATTATCTAAATTACAAACATGTCTTAAGGACATAAAATCCTGGATGAGCTGCAATTTTCTGATGTTAAACTCAGAAAAAAAAACGAAATTCTTGTTCTAGGCCCCAAAAACCTTAGAGACTCACTGTCAAAAGATATAGTTACTCTAGATGGCATTAACTTGGCCTCTAGCACCACTGTCAGGAATCTTGGAGTTATCTTTGATCAGGATTTGTCTTTTAACTCCCACATAAAGCAGACCTCTAGGACTGCCTTCTTTCATTTACGTAATATTAGAAAAATTAGACACATACTATCACAGACAGATGCAGAAAAACTAATCCATGCATTTGTTACTTCAAGGCTGGATTACTGCAACTCTTTATTATCAGGTTGCCCCAGTAAGTCCATTAAAACGCTCCAATTAAGTCAGAACGCTGCAGCACGAGTACTGACAGGAACTAGAAAAAGAGATCACATCTCTCCTGTACTAGCTTCTCTGCACTGGCTCCCTGTAAAATGTAGAATAGAATTTAAAATCCTCCTCCTCACCTATAAAGCTCTTCAAGGTCAGGCCCCTTCATATCTTAAAGAGCTCATAGTACCCTATTACCCCTCTAGAACACTACGTTCTCTGAATGCAGGGCTACTTGTGGTTCCTATAGTCTCTAAAAGTAGAACAGGAGCCAGAGCCTTCAGTTACCAAGCTCCTCTCCTGTGGAACCAGCTTCCAGTTGTGGTTCGGGAGGCAGACACCCTCACCACATTTAAGAGTAGGCTTAAGACATTCCTCTTTGATAAAGCTTATAGTTAGGGTTGGATCAGGTGAGTCCTGAACCATCCCTTAGTTATGCTGCTATAGGCCTAGACTATTGGGGGATTTCCCATGGTGCACTGAGCTCCTCTCTTCCTCTCTCTTTCTGCACTCATGCATGTTCCATTAATGCATGTTACTAACTTCACTTCTTCCCCGGAGTTCTTGTGCTTTCTCGTCTCACAGGTTCTTATCGATCCTGGTGGAGCCTCCTGCCATGGTCCTGCTAGATTGCCATTGCCAATACTGTTGTTGCTGTGCACCTGTCTGTCTGTCTGTCTGTCTCTCTCTCTCTCTCTCTCTCTCTCTCTCTCTCTCTCTCTGAAGATGGATTAAGTTAAGATTAAGTTTTTGTTGACACAGTGTCAGACAGCTTTTGATTGATTGATTAATCTCCTGTCTAACTTATTTTCCATGAATGGGGATTGTATTCTTTTTGCATGGGAAATGGAATGCTTGCAGGTTTTATAATTGACTGCGTATCTTTTTCATTTCCAGACAGGCCATATATGATGCATTCAACAGATTCTGCCTCAAGTATCCCAACCTGAACTAGCAATGACAGACTGAAGCCCTTTCCTCCCTGTAACAGCAGCAGGACCTGTGCCTGGACACTGGACAAAGCAATGCCTGTCCACAGACCAGAAGCATCAGCATGAAGTATGGTAGTTAAGATCTCTTCTACTGAGACGTGATTTGTCTGAACTTTACAGGCTGTCTTTAGATTAAGGCCACTTTTCAAATTTCCTACTTCTAAAAGGGAACCCTGGTGCACCCAAACAAATATAATCAACTGAAACTGAATTTAGTTGTTGATGTTGATCCGTCTCTGCTTGTCGAAAGAACACTAAGGCCTCTTGTTTCACTCTGGTATCAATTCACTGGTCCACACCACCAGGCTGGATGTGTCCATCCTGATGTGTTCTGTTAGGAAACACAGACAGTGCCTGTTATATTGATATCATATCATATCATATGAGCAGAATATTAGCTACTGCAGAATGTAGATTACTGCAGTATATGATGAAAATACTAGGTATAAATGCAATACTGAAGACAGAGAAATATAAGAATATTGTAAAATATTATAGAATTGTTAGTTACGTCAAAGAATATAAGTATATAAGTTAAGCTCACTGTAAAGCTGCTTTCATGACAGAGAAATTCAGTAACTAATAAATAAGTCTAAGGGATTTTTCACAGTTATGGAAATGGAAATTAAATTTAAAAATCCTTATAGTTTCGTTGACCCTGTCTGATATACCTGTAGTAATTTTTTGTGGCAGAGTCTGCCATTCCCACACATTGTTAAAATGGCCTGCATACACATGCAGTATTCTCTGCTGCCTCGTATCACTCCACTAAGCCCTGCCCACCAAACCCACAAACGTCTCTGAAATGGCCTGTGATTGGCCAAAGTCTCCTGCAAAGGGCTGAATTTTGTAAAGCCTGAAAGGTGCAGAAGACTAGTTATCTCTCGGGCCACATTTTTGCGCAGAGATACCAAGAACAGCTGCCCAGCTATAAGTACTTTGTGGTATTCCTCACACTAACAACATTTAGTGTTCTGGTGTCAAAATATCAAAAATGATAAAGCAATTCTAATGTTGTACTCTAAAAAGTTCATGGGGTTGCTAGAGACCTGGGTATGTAAGAGATGCAGGTAATGTTGTGTTTTTCTGTTTGGCATCATGGTGGCACTGTTTACTCATGGTTACTATGAATAAATAAAGACACAATGATTAAAATGTTTGATGATGGAGCAGCAGCTTTAGTGCAAGTCAGCAGTTTCTTTGAGATTGGTAAGGGTTTTGTTACTGTGTATATTTTTTCTAATTCTTCCACCCCTTAAAATCAAGAAGGCCTCTGAGGTGAAGCTCATTATTTCTAATTAGCTCCACTTGTCTTTCTGCCAGAACAAATCATTTTCAAATGATAACATACCATTTTGAAACAAGAGGCCTCAGTGTTTCTGACAGAGACATACTGTACATAACAAGACAGTAAAATATGGTAACAGCTTGGCTTCTTTGGTCCAGATACCATATTATGTGCTACATTTCAGTAAATTATACTGAAGTGCATCAAATGCCACACATATGTATGAATACAGTATGTGAAAAAAAGCACAGGTTTTAAAGTGTGTTTCCTCAGAGCAGACAGGCTCTCTGGACTGACTACTCATCCTCTGCTGTCCACCCACTTCCTGCACCATGTGACCGCTGTTCATCCAAAATTTTCAGTTTGCTTGTGACAGAGAAAGCTCATTGTAGGTTCCTTTTTAATTTAAAGATGTGTAAACATGAAATTGAAATAAAGTCAAACCTACAGAGCAACTACAGGAGCTGTGATTAGTCAGATTACCAGCTCCTGTTGCCTCTCTGCGGGTTGAACCTGGAATTTAATTTGCACACTGCTTACACATCTTTCAATGAAAGTGGTCTGTAAAACTGTAAAGCAGGCAGCAGATTAATTGTGAGATGGAATAAGGTACATTGCACACTGGTAAATGAAATATGAAATTAAATGCATTTTTGCTTTTTTGATTATAAAATGAAATTCTTAATCATTTAAAGTCAGAATAAGGCATTTTCTTTGATAATATTATTTTGCTTTTGGGTTCATTAGTGCATTATTAAATAAAACAATTTTTAGATAATGTTTTGAAGATCCACTGTAAAATTTAGGAGGATCTATTGTCAGAAATTAAATATAAGCATTGTTGTGTTTTTATTACCTTGGAATGGGTGACATGAGCCGACAGATGCTGCGGGTCGTCTTTCATGGAGTTCGCCATGTTAAACCACCATGTTTCTGGCAGCTGGTGTGGAAACAAATTGACAGATGTGTACAGCCTTTCTGATGTCTGTTGTATTGTCATTCCCTTCATGGAAAGAGTCAAACTTGAATTTGACAGAGCACAGTCCTGACTAATGTTCAGCAAAAATGTCTTTAAAAGACCACACTACTGTATTTTTTTTTTTTTTTTAAAGTTTTAGCTTCTTAACTATAAATCATGTATGCTTCACATTTTGCTGACTATTTTGATTTTATACTCTACATGTTATAGCATGGCTTCTCCCTTTCTGCAGTTAATCATCTTATAATTACAATCAAACGTTGTATATTGAAAAATTGATGCAAACTTGATGCAGATGTCCATTGTGACGGGTTACACAACTCAACTAACTTTATTGTCATATTGTACATAAATAAGATGAAGACAATGGCTGCCTGGAACACCTAAAACATACCTAAAACAAAATAGTATGGTTTGTAAAATGGTTAGCTGTGATGTAAAGTGTAATTGATTTGTAGTAAATGGGCTAAAACATGGAAAACCACTGATTGGGTCCTGTAAGAACCTGCTGATGCTGCTTTCTGGAAGAGATCACAGTATTAGGTTCACAGCGTTTGATGTTGATGTTGTAGCAGGAAAAGTACAGATGGAACTAATATTAGTTTTTTGCATCCGTTCCATTCATTGTCCCAGTCTATAGCAAATAAACCTCCATAAATCAAAAATTGTAGGGAAAAAAAAGCTATTTAGACCTTGCCTTAGAACAATCAAGTTTTTAAGTTTTCTACATTGTTTTTATAATTCCAGTTTGCCTATATCAGCAAAAAACAGGCCTCAAAATTGTTGCAGTACCAACATTACAACAGCATATTTGCCTGTACGTTGGTGTTAACGTGATATTCTTAATTTTTACGCAAAAGTCAAATTCCACACAGATATGATGAAATGCAGTAGAATGGAAAAAAAAGATCTACTTGAGAAACAAAAGAACATTGCTGTAGGGTGTGAATTAGAGAAGGAGCAGCCAGTTCACAAAAAAAGGTGGCTGTTGTGGCTGTCATTATTACTGGGGTGAAAAAATGACCCGCTGTGGCTAACTGCTGTGGACAGGATCAACATCACTGGTAATGTTAAAATCACCCCACCTCCCCTAGAGACACAAATTAGTGTTTTTCTTTGATGATTTTTTGAGTGTTTAAAAAAATTTGGGAATGTTTCTTCACCCACATTCATTATCCAGTGAACTGTGCCATGTTGTTCCATTTATATAATGTTAATGTAATGTTGCCACTGACACAGCAGACCTTCTTTGTTCTGACCACCACAGTTCCAGCTAATTCAGCAACTAGATGTTTTTTTTATATCTGTTCATTTGTACAGTTAGTGAATCATGCTAATTTAAAATCTATTGTTAGAACCTAAAGAAGTCAGTTTTTTTTTTTTTTTTAAATGACGTGCTCAGATTTCTATTGGTTTCAACACATTTTAAAACCTCAGCTGCACTGATGCCAAGTGCTACAGACCCAGAACACAGCGGCTCTGCATCTATAATGTCTGTTTATTCCGAATTAAAAGATAACTTCTGTATTTTTCTTCTTTTGTATTGCTCCTACTAACAACTACTGTGTGTGTATCAAAGCCTATTATATCTTCTTCCTGTGTGCCATGGAGGTCCATTGTTGTCCAAAAAGTATTAAACACATCAATGAGCCACACTGTTGCACTGTTCCTTCATTACCATGAAGACACAGTGTAGTTAATTTTGATCCCAATCCCAAACACCGTCATGCTGCCCTAAATACCCACTAGACCAGTGGTTCCCAACATTTTTCCTCTCCATATTTTATTCAATGCATAACAGTAACAGAAAACAACTGATAAACTGTACAATGAACACAAACAGTGAACACAATAACTGCAGTAGGTTTGTGTAAACCCTGAGATTTGGATGAATTTTCAGCATTATACATTTTTTTTATCAGAACCGGAAATCTCAAATACACTAGGCAAAATACCACATGCAAAAAACTGCATGTTTTTTGTCCAATTGTATGGGATTAGCATAAAGTGGGCATGTCTGCACCCCCCAACTCCTTTGGGTGAAAGCAGTGCCTCTATTTTGTCTTGTAGTAAATGCAAATTCTGAGGTCTTTGGGGATTTTAATACCATAAAACAAGAATTTATCTCCACTTCCTACGTCACATTATGCTGCTTACAAGGTTCATTATTAGAAGGTAGGTTAGCTCAGTTTATGTGAATTATTAAAGTTTAAACACCCTCTGCTGCACTGTCAAACCAAACTCCATTTGTAAAGCAGGTGTTTCATGGATTTTTTTCACAATAAAAGCTTTATTTACATCATCACTAAGACTCTTTACTGATTCACTTAAATCTACAGTTACAATCGGCACATCATCATTCATCATCATCATTTACTCAGTAAAATCATTAACTTAACCATTAACTGTTTGCCACAGGCTGACGCATACTGACTGTCTGGTTCCCGCAGTTAAACATTTTTATCCTCTGCGGATTGCCTGAAGACAGATATTTTCTTTTACTGTCTCTCCTTGATTAGGAAAGGAAATACAATTGTGAACTGGCTTTTTTTATTGTTTGCATCAGGAAGGGTGACAATAGGCACAATTACAGCGCTTGCTCCACCTAAAAAGAGGCTTATTTTGAAGACAAGAAAGTGACATATGGCTGCTCTCTTCTATGATTGTGATGGTAAATCAGATTTCAGTGCCAGTGACACCACCACCCAACCCCGCTGGAAACACCCCTGTATAAACTGTCTTTTAAATTAAATGATCTATTGTTCTAGTTTTATTGTTTTTTTTTTTAGTCTGGGTTTTTCTTTTCAGTTTTCCTTCCTTCCTTTGTACTGCTTGTGAGTCAGAAATAAAGACTGAGTTGAATTAAAACTCTTCAAGACTTTTATTTTGTAGCTTGTTTACATGGGCGAGGTGGAGCCGGATGTGTCGTCATCTCCTCTGTGTACACCAGCTGATCGGAGCAGGAGCAGGTCCGTCATTATTATCGTTATTTGTAGAGAATATCTGGGAGCACGCAGGGTCTGGGTCTCTCTCTGCGCTCGCGTTCAGCGGGAAACAGCAGCGCGTACAGCTGACACCGAGCCTCGCGAGGCTTGTTTGTTTTTGTTCATACATCACCAAGGCCTACCTGCGATGCTAAGCTAATTAGATAGCAGGATTCATGGAAGTGAACCGCTGATAAACGAAGCGAACGGCCAGGGAATATCTTCCCAGCCACCCTCGAGCTAACGATGGAGGTGTGATGAACGTACAGATATCGATTATTGAGCTAATATCGGTCGTCAATGGCTAGAGAGTGATCGGAAGGTGGCCACAGACAGGCTCTGACAGACGAACACAGGTACCTGGTGGCAGCAGCGCTCTCCTCTAGCTGAAGATGTGGCTCAAACTGTTCTTCCTGCTGCTGTATTTCATGGTGCTGTTCACGCTGGCGAGGATTTTTGAGGCAGTGGTCTGGTATGAGACCGGAATGTTCGCCACCCAGCTGGTGGACCCAGTTACTCTCAGTTATAAGAAGTTGAAGACCATCCTGGAGTGTCGGGGGCTGGGGTACTCCGGACTGGCTGAGAAGAAGGATGTGAGCGAGCTGGTAGAGAGATCAGGTAAAGGTCAGGGTCTGGGCTGGGGGTGTTTGCATCGTAATCATCTGCACATCAGCACACAATGATGAGTCATAGTTCAGTTTCTAGGGGCAAAAACTGATACTTCATGGTGGGCCACTGCTCATAGCCCTTAACAGTCTCTACAGAAACCTCAGATATATGTTTGGGGTCAAACCGTGTCCTAATAATATGATGATTTAGGAAAACATGTTTGTTTGGCACAGACAACCAAAAAGTTCACATGATAGATAGATATATACTTTATTAATCCCCTATTGGAGGAATATTTAGAAAAGAAAATGAATAAAGAAAATGAAAAGAAGGTGTGACAAATAATAAATTCTATTCCTCAAAGTCAGTTCTTTAAGTTGTATGGGCCTTATCCAATCTGATCCAATCTTGTTAACCCATATCCGTATAAGCATGATATCACTTCTGCGTTTGAAGATAAAGTTCCACCTTATTGAGTAACCTGAATGATACATAGTTTACCAAGCTGGATGTACCTATACGCTATGTGGCGGAGGCTTTCCAATTCATAACAATGAGCTTCCATCCCAGTCTGCCTCAGATCTATGGTAAATGGCCTTTCTAGTCTTCCGACCACTCAAAGCGCCTTTACACTACGTGCCACATTAACCCTTTCTTACACATTCACTCAGTGATGGCAAAGCCCATCGAACAGAAACTAACACATTCACACACCGATGCACGGGGTTCAGTATCTTGCTCAAGGATACTTTGACTAGTGGCACCAGGAGCCAGGGATCGAACCAACAACGTTCCGATTACGGGATGACCCGCTCTGCCTCTGCACCACAACTGCCCAGGGTCTCCCAAAATGTACCAGGCTGGAGTGAAACGGACATCTTTGTCAATAATTGTTTAAATGTAGTCATTTATATTAACCAAAATGCATTGAGGTAAAGACTTTTTTAACTTTTATTCCATTTTTGGGAAGTTGGGGAAAAAAGGGAATAAATAATTCAATTTTCAATTCAATTTTATTTGTATAGCGCCAATTAATTACAGAAGTTATCTCAGGACACTTTTCAAATAGAGCAGGTCTAGACCGAACTCTTTAACATTAATTACAGAGACCCAACAGTACCACCATGAGCAAGCACTTGGCGACAAGGGCAAGGAAAAACTGCCTGTTAAAAGGCAGAAACCTAGGACAGATCCTCCGGCTCTAGGTGGGTGGTCGTCTGTCTCGACCAGTTGGGGTGAGAGAGAGACAGACAGACAGACAGACAGACAGACAGGTGCACAGCAACAACAGTATTGGCAATGGCAATCTAGCAGGACCATGGCAGGAGGCTCCACCAGGATCGATAAGAACCTGTGAGACAAGAAAGCACAATAGGGTTGGTTGTTTTAATTGATAGGTTTATGACAATATATGATTCTAGTTGATATATGATCCAGTCTACATGTGCTCTGATGCTGCTTTCCATTTGTCTCGTGAACTCGGAACCCGAGTTGTTCTGCCGCGAGAACGTGACGTCATTGCCTGGCTTGTACCACTTATAGTGTTCCAGTTTGTCTTTGGGCATTACGAGTCGGAAAGAAGTGCAGCAGCTGTCTTATTATTGCTTGTGGCTCTTCTAAACAAGCTCAATGTGAAATAATAATATGTTTTTCTACAGAAACACTAACATTTCAAGTAATTCCGTTATTGCAAGTCTTACATTTCAATAATATTTTGCCATTTTCGCCTATTTCAATTTCAATAAGTGCTGTGGCGTTTGTCTCGAGCCACCAGGGGCAGTGGCGGGCTAGTGTTATTGTTAGCTACATTAGCCTATTTAGCAAACCAGCTCGAAAACAAAACTTTACATTGTATTGCACGCACAGCAACACTGTGCAATGCATAAATTGGTGACCGGACTAAAGCAGCAATGTAAACAAGTGTGTAGGAGCATTTAAAATCGACATTAAAACGACCAACATGGTACAAATACAAAGAAAATACATCTTAATATGGGTGCTGCCATCTTTGTTTTGCGGGTCGTATGTGACCCCCCGTCCAGCTCGGGGTACCCTGAGGCACCCCGAGCTGGACGGCTGAAATTCCGACCAAAAGGGGGTGTGTCTCGGTGAAATCTCGCGAGATTTACACTTTCCAACTCGGATTCCGAGTTCACGAGACAAATGGAAAGCAGTATGAGGATTTGGAGGTCATACGCCTTGTATGACCGGGTTCCCCAGAATATTCTGTGGGAGGTGCTGCGGGAGTATGGGGTAATGGGGTCACTTCTCAGGGCCATTCAATCCCTGTACTTCCAAAGCGAGAGTTGTGTCCGGATGCTTGGTCGTAAGTCGGACTCGTTTCCAGTGGGCACCAGGGCTGTGCTTCGTCACCAATCCCATTTGTGATTTTCACAGACAGGATATCGAGGTGTCGTCGTGGGAGGGAGGGGTTGCAGTTCGGTGGGCTGAGGATTACATTGCTGCTTTTTGCAGATGATGTGGTCATGAAGGCATCATCGGCCTGTGACCTTCAGCATTCACTGGATCGGTTCACAGCTGAGTGTCAAGCGGCTGGGATGAGGATCTGCACCTCTAAATCGGACGCAATGGTTCTCAGCAGTAACAGGTGGATTGTCTACTCCGGGTAGGGAATGAGTCCTTACCCCAAGCATCTCAGGGTTTTGTTCTCAAGTTTTTTTTTTTTTTTCCGGGGGGTGGCCAGCGTTTCCCTTAGGGATAGGGTAAAAAGCTCGGTCATCCGCAAGGGACTTTGAGTGGAGCCGCTGCTCCTTCGCATAGAAAGGAGCCAGTTGAGGTGGTTCGGGTATCTGGTGAGGATGCCTCCAGGGCGCCTCCCGAGGGAGGTGTTCTTGGCATGTCCAACTGGGAGGAGTCCCCGGGGCTGACCGAGGACCAGGTGGAGAGATTATATCTCCACACTGGCCTGGGAACGCTTCGGGATCCCGCAGTCAGAGTTGGCCGATGTGGCCAGGGAAAGGGAAGTTTGGGGTCCTTTGCTGGACCTGCTACCCCTGCGACCTGACTCCAGATAAGCGGATGAAGAAGAAGATGATGATGATGATGATGATGATCCTAGTTTGATCATTGATTTAGTATGAAGACTTTATTATCTTTAAAAGTAGAAATTTAAATATTTCTCTGATTGGATTCCTTAAGATAGATTCCCCTCAAGTCTAACAAAAAAAAAACAATCAGAGTCAAGAAAGATAGTTGATTGAGTCTCATTCCAGAGGAACCAGATTTTTTCACAGATTATCTGTCTCTTGTACTACTGTCAGGACACAGTGAAAGTTTCAGAAAATATGACAAAAAGTTGTTAAACAAAAAGTTGTTAAACAAAAAGTTATTAGTTATAAAATTTGCCTACTGCAGCTTTAAAAGTAACAGTAGGATGGGCTGGCTTCTACAGAAGCAAAGCCATTAAATTTTTTAAAATGCTGTTATGTTGTGATTACGATTATTTTGTTATCTTGTCAAACCTGTTGCTAAATGCATGGAGAAATTACATGCATCATGCCAGTTAATATTCATTTTCATACTGACCAAAATGAGCCAGCAGCCAAGAAAAAGTGCATGAAAACACATTGCAGGGCTCATTTAATAAATCTCAATATTTCCCTGATATATTTAGTCAGTATTATAATAAATAATGTCTTAAATAAACTCTCAGATGTACATTTGGTCAAGAACTTTTCAGTTCAGTTATGAATTCTCCGACCTGATGTTGAAGGATGAAATCAGGTGTGATCAAATGAGCAAGACATTTTCCAGCTTTCCGTAATTATCCCGTGGTCTTAACAAACCAGTAGGCCTTCTGTTTTCTCAAGATATGTAGATAAATTAACTTCGTTATAGAGTATATATAACTTAGTTATTACAAAGACAAGTTAAAACTATTCCTCATTAAGACCCTGTGGATTTAGTATGTAAGGGTGTATGCAAGAGAGGATGCTAATTATCGGTTTTAAGGCTGATCCGGTATTGGCAATCTTAAAGCTGATCAAAAACCTGATCCTTTCTTTACTGAACTCTCATTTATTTGCTGTAACCTCCTGTGTTTTGTTGACCTCAGCTTGCTAGTGTTGCAGCACTGCCCTTCTTTTTACTCGTGAAAAAAATGAACTCCTCTCTGACTCCATGGATCCGCTAAGCTCTGACCATAACAAATCTGTTGCAAAACAAAAATAGTAGGTATGAGTCTATGTCTCATGTCGCTGTATCCACATTTCCCTAACTTACGTCTTTTCCTTGCTATTAGTCCCTCCCACCAGGGATGCATGGAGAGATGCAAGGAAATGAGGAGAAGGAAAGAAGGAGCAAGGAAATATGTTTTTAGTGAATTGAGATGTCCTTTCTTCTGAAGCATCACATGAAGCAATGTCCATTTCTGATGACAGCATCACACATACTTTCATACAGCCTTAGACCTAACTGGTCACCACATCCCTTCAAGCTGAACATGACTAAACTGGCCAAAGTGTGATGAATGGTTCCCCCACAGACGTACCAAGCACAGAGTGAGACATACAACCAGACGTCATATCCCTGAGGTATGACAGCACAAGTTAGAGATGTGAGACCGTGAAGAAGCCAGGCAATTTCATTAAACATGGCCCGTAGAGTTCGGTTTACAAAGCAATGCTTGATGACACCGTCGTAGCATTTAGCCGTGAACACACACCCAAAGCGCCCAATACACCCTGGAAGTGGAATGCATTTTAGTGCAACAATTGTGGCTGGGAGACGGATGCTGCTAACAGTTTTTCTTAGGCCAATCAGTTTTTCTCGACCCAAACCTAAATTTAGAATTGGGTTTGGATAAATACGTCCTGAGCCCTTTTCAGATCATGGCACTTTTTTATTCCCCTACAGGAGAGCTGACACAGGGGGAGCTGTACTCAGCCATCAAGAAAGAGAAGGAGCAGACAGAGGCAGGAGATGCCAGCACTACACACTTCAGTGGAGAGATGCACTTCTATGAATTAGTGGAGGACACTAAAGATGGGATCTGGCTAGTTCAGGTAAAAACATGCAATAATGGTATATTGAAACAGTAGGAAAATCTCTATCATCTCTAATCAAATACTCATTTATCACAACATGAGCCATTCTAGTCTGAATATGTCATTGTATGCTGTCTTCATTTTTTCCATTTTTCTTTTAATTGTGTCCCCAATATTTATGGAAGCAATACCAAATAACATTGGGATTGGATGTCAACCAGGGGCACAAAAGCTAGTTGTGACTCTGCTTTCACACGCAGATCAGAAATGGAGTAGAGATGTCCTGAGTTCACCATAAGTATCAGTACTTGGGTAAAAGGCTGTATACCGGCTTAGTAGTACACTTTCAGAGTAGGGTGGATCATGACTTCTGGGGAAACAAAATGGTGAACAGGATGCTGCTGGGAAGCCTTTCCAATCTTCCAACCACTCAAAGCACTTTTACACTGCATGCCACATCCACCCATTCACACACATTCATACAATGCCCAGCATTGGGAGCAATTTGGGGTTCAGTATCTTGCTCAAGGACACTTCAACATGTACTTTATAGTTGCAGTGTCCCTTGACAGATTTGTTCAGTATTACCTGTCTGACCCTTTCCTGTCCCTGTGTGAACCTGCAGGTCATTGCTCAAGGCCGGGAAGCTCTGCTCAGTCAGTCCAACTGGGAGAAAATGGTTCAGAAAGTGTCTCAGTTTGGGATCAGAACTGGAACCTTCAATTGCTCTAATGACTACAGGTAGGCAGCAGGGCCTTCCTCAAATGCACCAACACTTTCCATTCACTCCAGGGCTCACTGACACCAGACAAATAGTATTTAGTATTGGACCAGTTATCCTAGTAGGGATGTGAGATTTCTTCTTGTTCTTGAAAACATTCTGCTCTTTGTGTACAGAAAAAATGTGTGTATTTGTCAATAAATCTAATAAAATAAAACATTTAGATGTCAGGCAGTGTTTAGAAGTGTGAGCTTATTTTTTCCATTACTTACTGCTAAAGGTGAAACGAGCTCAGCTCCAGAATAGTGCAGTTGCATTGAGATTTCATCTATAGGTGGTGCTATAAATCTGCTGTACTTGGATTGAGGAAAAACCATGACAGCCAGCCAATCAGCAGTAATTTGACACAGCAATTGTGTATCAGCACCAAATATTTTGAGTATATGCAACAGTGTGAAAGCACAGCTCCCACTCAGGGATAAATTGACCACTGGAGGCGCTAAAGATCCACTTTAATCATCTGATAGTGAAAACAAACTTTTACCTATGGATAGGTCGAGGCAGACGGCCACCCACCTAAAGCCGGGGTCTGTCCTAGGTTTCTGCCTTTTTAAAAGGAAGTTTTTCCTTGCCGCTGTCGCCAGGTGCTTGCTCATGGTGGGAACTGTTGGGTCTCTGTAAATAATTTTATTAGGAGCACGGTCTGGACCTGCTGTATTTGAAAACTGTCCTGAGATAACTTTTGTTATGAATTAGGATATTAGTCTCACTAGCCAGTCTCTAAGCGCTTTGCTCAATAGAGACTGCAGGCTTTCCCAGTATATAAACCTGTATTGCAGTACCAATCCAAAGTATTTAGGGCAGAGGACTTGTGGAGGTGCTTGTAAAAACTGTCGTACAAAATAATATTGCTCTGGACACCATTTTCAAGGAACCCATTCAATTTCAGTTTCAGTGGTAACACTGCTGTCTGTGGATAAATGAACTAACCCTGTCATAGTTAAAGTGAAGTGAATGGTGTCCTGTGACTAAACAGTACAGAAAAACATAACAGGGTGTGCATTAGTGCACAACCAAAACTTTGTTTAATCTCCATAAAAACAGGCAAGGAAGAGTCACAACCAAGAAGGAGAGCTCATTATGTGAAGAACTATGTATATGGTGATTCTCGTCAGATTAAATGTGGGCAGTAAACAGGGGACAGAACGCTGGTGGTCCAGTGAGACTGATAAAGAACATCCCGTTGTCTGTTTTCATATGCCATGTGTATCACTAGATTAATACCTGTCTGTTACACTGCTCTGTGCGGTCTCTCTACCAGGTCATGTATCAAGCGTGGCTGGCAGCGCTCCACTCTCATCATGTCTGTTCCTCAGACTTCAGCGTCAAAGGGCAAAGTCATGCTCAAGGAATACAATGGCCATCGCATTGAAACCGAACACATCTTCCGCTGGATGACCTCACATGTTGCTCATCGAATCAAAACCCTGCGTCGTTCTGTGCAGCTGGTGGAGGAGTGGCGCTCTGACCCAGCCCACCCAGTAAAGATGTTTCTGTTCGCCCGTCTGTCCCAGCCACCTGCCTTCTTCTCCTCGCTGTCCATCAAGTTCACTGGCAGGATCGAGTTCATCTATGTAGACGTACGTCACTGGGACAACCGCAGCACCCTATCAGAGATCGGTGTGACACATAGCCCCGCTTACATCCTCAAGATGCCTGAGGGCATTTATCGCTATGGCAACAGGTAATGTTTGAACATGGAAATGATAATGTTATCCATTATCATACAAATACAGATCTCCTTTAATTGTCTCTCTTTTTTCTTTCCACTCCACCTCTCCTGATCTTCTCCTCCTGTCCTCCATCCTACCTCTTCTTATATTCTCCTAATTTCCTTAACTCCTCTCCTCCTCCACTCTTCTTCTTCATCTTCTCTCTTCCTCTTCTTTTTTTTAAATTCCTCCTCTCCTCTCCTCTCCTCTCTTTAGTACCGGGGAGTTTCTGTCCCTGGCTGCCATGGATACTTTCCTGCGTTCTGTCCAGCCAGAGGTCAATGACCTGTTTGTCCTCAGTCTGGTTCTGATCAACTTGCTGGCCTGGATGGACCTCTTCATTACACAGGTCACTTCCTGTTTTGTCCATTAGATTCAGTCAACTGTGTATCTTAAAAGCACACTATACTCCTTTACTCAAATACAATTTTGAGATACTTATACGTGGAATTTCCATTTAATGCGACTTTATACATTTCAAAAGAGAAATGTTGTAGTTTTTACTCCAATACATTTATTGACAGCTATAGTAAAGCTGGCAGCATGCTTCTTGCAATGGGCTCTGCAAATACGTGCCCATGCCTCTCGATATTTGAGTTGTCACTGGGTCTTTGGCTGCTCCTTGCTGATGATTAGAAAGTAGAAAGCAGCGCATATGCTGTACAGTGGAGACATACAACCACTATAAAAGTTTAAACTAAAAACAGTCACATTCAGCTTTTCCTGCTTTCGTCTTCTACAGCAGCCTTGCTGTGTCCTCTCTGTAGACTGGTCCATAGCACCCCCTACAGTGTGAGACATCAATGGATGAGAAGTAGGGCTCGCGGCAGTATGTGCACATAAATTGTTATGGACGGTGCACACACCCAAAGATGGGCGCAGGTCGCCACAGGAGCATGCTGGAGCCCTTACTATTAAACATCTTATACAGAGTATTGGAATAGAGAGATACAGTTAGTTTTGTATTTACTGTGCTGGGCGGCTGTGGCTCAGAGGAAGAGCGGGTCTAATCGGAAGGTTGTTGGTTCGATCCCCGGCTCCTGCCGCCACATGTCACAGTATCCTTGAGCAAGATACTAAACCCCGAATTGCTCCAGATGCTGTGCATTGGTGTGTGAATGTGTGTGAATGAGTTAGTTTCTGTTCGATGGACTTTGCCATCACTGAGTGAATGTGTGTGAAAGGGTGAATGTGGCACGTAGTGTAAAAGCGCTTTGAGTGGTCAGAAGACTAGAAAGGCGCTTTACAAGGCTTACAAAGCTATACAGGTCCATTTACCATTTACCATTTCTTTACCCTGTATTCATTTTCACGGACAGGGAGCAACAGTGAAACGATTTGTAGTTCTGATCCGAACACTTGGAACCTACAACTCCATACTGCTGGTGTCCTGGCTTCCTGTTCTGGTAGGAAGTCCTCTATACCACTCGGTTCTCGTAACTGACTTCATCAACAACTTGTTATTTTCCACACCTGCCTTTTTCAGTGACATTGTCACATCATGGGCCTAGTTGTTTCCTGTTCTGATGGGCCTGTTCCAGAAAGGTGGTTAACAAACCCTGAACCTAAACCAGAGCTATAAGTTAACTGAATACACTTTTTCACTAATTACCAAATAACTAGCTAATATAAACAAGCTTTTGGTATGTAGGCATGCAACATTAAATATTCATACCTTATTAAACCTCACTATTAGTATTTTAACTGATTGGAGAGCTGAATTGATGATAATTTATCACTAATCACTCATTTGTCACTCCCCCCAGGCTCTCCTCCAGCTGCCCTATCTGGACACTCTGTATGGATACAGTCTGAAGCTTCTTCGTTATGCTGACACCACCACACTGGCCAGCCTGGTTAGAGCTGACTGGACATTCTACTCGTCCCACCCAGCTCTCTTCCTGTCCACCTACCTGGCCCACGGCCTGCTTGTTGACTACTTTGAGAAGAAACGTCGCTGTGGCATCAGAAGCCAAGAGGACAGCACCACCAACTTAGAGTGGCTGGCCAGTCTGTGGGACTGGTACACTTCCTACCTGCTCCACCCAATTGCATCACTGCAGCAGGTCCCATCTGACCACTCAGACTGGGAGGATGATCCCAACTTCCTTTTTGAGCGTTTGGCTTTCCCTGATCTCTGGCTTCGCCCATTAGTAAACATGGACTACATTAAAGCCCTGCCAACTTGGAGGTTCAGAGCTGTAGGTCTGCACGGGGGGGAGGGGTCTGGTGGAAGGCTGGATGATGAGACAGATAGTTCACATTCAGACACAGAGAGCAGGGAGCAGAGAGATTCCCCTCCTGCAGGTCCCAGCAGCTGCAGAAGGCACGAGAAATCATTGTGCAATCAGGACAACAACACACAGCTCTCTGTGTACAACAACATGGACTCTGCCTCTGCCACTGCCGCTGCATCGTCCTTCTGCTGTCGTCATGGGAACAGAAGCTCACCATCAACCGACGAGGTGAAGGAGGATAGCTGCCTCACATTTGAAGGTGTCTCAAACCATCAGCACTGTGATTGGTCAGTGTGGCCCGTTGACATTCTGCAGTGTTCAGAGTGTGTGGTGTGTCTGGAGAACTTTGTCAGTGAGGAGCTGCTGATGGGTTTGCCCTGTGGCCACGCCTTCCACCAGCAGTGCATTGTGGTGTGGCTGGCAGCAGGCAGACACTGCTGCCCAGTGTGTCGTTGGCCCAGCTACAAGAAGAAACAGCAGAGAGCTGCAAAGAGCAGCTCTACTAAAAACAGACTGCAGGACTGATGAGTAAATCTAACTGAGCCCTTCTTATCTTCATGTCTCCTCTCTTCTCTCTCTGTTCATTGGCACCAAGCTCACTGGGCATTGAGACTGTGTCTGTTATCATCACAGCTTGCTTGGGTGAAGTCAGGACTGGGGAGGAATGAAGTAGGATACATCAGTCAGTTGGGCTGATGTTGTCATGAGCCATCAATCAGCTTGTTTCCATTCCTGTTGAAGGCAATGTGCTGGCCATCATAGCAGACAGACGGAATGAATGCCCAGTCAACTTGCTTTCTGAATACAGAGGATATTGAGTCACAAGAAGTTGCTTACTATATCAAGTCAACTGCATCAAAATACAATTGTATAATAACACATGTACACTGTCTGCTCCACCCTGTATCATGACTGACAAATGCAAAAACCTCTGTGTTTGATTTTGTATGTTAATTAGACTTTTGTTAAGAATAGAGGGAAGTCGATAGCTCTTACTGAACCCTCTCTCATAACAAAAGAAACGTCAGTCAGCACAACAATGCAATTCAAATTAATCGGTGTGAAAACTACTTCTGTTTCTGAAGGTCTTGACATGACCCCATTGACATCTCCTCACAATGTACATTTTTACATGACTTAAGTATTTATTTTGATTATCCAGAAAGAATTTGCTTAAACCAAGTTTCCTACCCCAGCAGTGTCAATAGTTATGACCTAATTCCTGCTCTAGTTTGTCTCTCTAGTGTAAACATGCAGCACTTGAGTTGTGATTTATCACTAAGAACCGTTACACATACTGTTAATAGCTGTTGTAAACCTTGATTTTAGATAAGGATACAGAATACAGCCAGGTGGTCTAAGGGTCTTTTCACACATGAAAGTCCAAACCAAGGTTTGCGTTTTTGATACACTGTATAACTTAGATCCAGTTTAATTTGGTTTCACATTGCAACTATGCGAGTGCATTAAACAACTGTATATGACATACCTAGATCCTGTTGTCATCACCTACATGGGCTGCGTCTCCCAATACTGGCAAGTGATTTCTTTGTAGACAGGCTTAATGTCAGTTCAGCAGATGGCCTTCAATTGCAGTTTGAATGAATGGACAAACATGAATGAACAGCTTCATTTTGTTGCCGCTATGATAGTAATAATGTCAATTAAACATTCAATCTCCTCTTCACATGTACTACCACAGCTAATTTTGTTTTATTGCGTGGTTTTTATATTTGCTCGGTCCTGATGATAGCCTGCCAGGACTTCCTGTAATTGACCCTTTTTAAGTTCCGCCCCTTTTTGCTCTGTGCTCCAATAACAGCTGATCAAGCCTCAATAAGAACCTCGGTCAACTTCCTCCTTGCCTTTACTTAGATATGCTGGCTCATCTGTGTTGAAAAGACAACCACATTTTGAAAATGGTAAAAAGATTAAAGTTTTACACTTGAAAATACTATTTGATCTGGACTGAGACCACCTCTTTACGTCTGACCAAGGTTCGGCTGTTAAGCCAGACCGTGTGACAGGGCCCATAATGTGGATACAGTACCTAATCACTGAGCCATGTAAGGGCCTCTAGATCACCCTCATTGTGCGTTCCTTGTTCTAAGTAGCTTGATGTTCACTAAACCACAGACGATGACGGTTGCCCACCTACAGCTGGGGTCTGCTCGAGGTTTCTGCCTTCTAAAGGTCCAGTGTGTAACATTTAGGGGGATCTATTGAAATCTACAGAAATGGAATATAAATATAAAGATGTTTTTAATAGTGTATAATCACCTGAAAATAAGAACTGTGTCTTTATTACTTTAGAATGATTACATGATTATATCTACTTTATATCTACATAAACCGTGGGCCCATGGAGTCTGCCATGTTGAACAGCCATGTTTCTACAGTAGCCTAGAACAGACAAAACCAAAGACTGGCTCTAGATATGGGTGTTCACATTTTATGTGCATTTCACATCCACCGAAATTCCTCCTTTGTACTTCCAAGGGGAGGGTGAAGCAAATGCAAACTACACTACTAGATGTCACCAAATCCTACAAACTGGTCCTTTAAAATCGACGTTTTTTTCCTTGTCCCTGTCGCCAAGTGGTAATAGTGGGAATTGTTGGGTCACTGTAAATAATTTTACAGTATGGTCTAGACCTGCTGTATTTGAAAAGTGTCCTGAGATAACTTCTGTTATGATTTGGCACTATACAAATAAGATTTAATTTAATTTAATTTAATTAATGATTTTAAAGGTTATACTATAACAATATAACATTTTAGAGATTAGTGATCAGAGGCCACACCCACAACATTCCACAGCATAGCCAGTACCACAGCTGAAAAACACATGAAAGCTGTGATAATCAATACAACATATCAATATAACAATCAACATATTATTAACATATATTAACAGTGGGTCAGTAGGTTGTCCTTTGAATTTAAACTCTCACCTCATTTTCAGTGACCGGCTCCAATAAACCCAATGCACACTACCTGTCCAGCAGCAAACAGCCTTTTAAAAACTAGCTGTTGAACATAGTAGAGACACAAGCAGCTAAAGAGACAGATATTTCCCCCATGAGCTGGTGAAGATGAAAACAGCCAGAAGGAGAGTGACTATTGGACTTATATTCATCAGGTTGATACAAACACCACTACAAGCATAAGGAGTTCGGTCTAGACCTGCTCTATTTGAAAAGTGTCCTGAGATAACTTCTGTTATGAATTGGCACTATACAAATAAAATTGAATTGAATTGAAATACAATGATCATGTTCCTCTGCAGCAGTTTTTATCCACTGTTTCAACTTCACTGGGTGATGATACGGATGATAAGGACTACGGTCGAGACCTGCTCTATTTTGAATAGTGTCCTGAGATAACTACTGTTATGATTTTGCGCTATATAAATAAAATTTAATTGGATTGAAAAATTTAATTGATATGTAAGATGTGTTTTGAGCTTGCAGCTTTAGTGATATTATTTAATGAATGCTGTATCAGGACTTTAAACCATGATGTCAGTTTTCCAAATTGAATATTTTAAAATTAAGGCTAAAAAAGGTTTTGAACTCTACCATTTGCTGTACATCTTTCAGATGTCCAATGTGGTTGTCTCTGTGAGGTATAGTCTGCGTGGCTGTTATTGGCTGACCCTTGCTTTTACCAGAAATGGACCTGTGTTAGTGAGAACTGATATGAATTTAACATTGTGGGTATCATGTATGAAGGTCCCAAGTCTTTACTTACATTGACAGATGTAACAGAAGGGCCCCACAATGATGCTCAGTAGTACAGAATAGAATAATTAATCCTTTTAAAAGGTCCAGTAGATATTTTTTATAAAAGTATTTGTATCATATTTGCTGAAACTTTCACTATATCTCTAAAGTAGTACATGAGACAGATAATCTTTGAAAAAATCTGGTTCCTTTGGCTCCTCCAAGTGCTCCTAATGGCATTTGCTAGAATTCAACAACCAATCAGTGCCAAGAATGATTATTATATCTTTCCCTGGACATCGAATGCAGACACTTTGAGACCCTGGGAATGAAACTCAACAATCATCTTTCTTCAATCCTCCAACCCAAAGCTTCCTTGTATCTTTTTCAGCTCTAATTGGTTGTTTTCACCCAGCCCTGTTGGATTCTTGAGCATTAGGAGTAGCTAGAGTAACCAGATTTTTTCACAGATCATCTGTCTCAGGATATAATGAAAGTAAGCAAATAAGTCAACAAATTATTTTTATAAAAACTGACCTATAGTGGCTTTAATAAACAACGCTCTTATTAAAAGTGAATTTCTTGTTATATTGAGGATTTTTAAACAAATCAGTATAAATGACTTGCAGATATTAGAATAAGACTGGATAGTCCTGCTTCTGGCAAATATAGAAACTCCAGCAAGTTAAGGAAACATATTCTCTGTATTGGATTGCATATTGTATAAGTTACAGTTTACCTTTAAAACTCACATGTCTTGCTGATGTCATTCTGTCTAAAATCCTACTTGTGGAGCTGTAGCAGGCTGTTTCTTTACCTGTATTGTTTTAAAAAAAAAATCCTGATTTAAAACTGTAATTTATCAACTTTTTTTAAGGGTGCTTAACTATAATCGTTCAGTTCCTTCCTGTCCTCTTTCTGTCTGTGAAGGGCAAGAAAAGAAAAATGATATGTAAAGTAGTAATACAATAAAATAAAAGATGTTTCAGCAGTTTGAGTTGTTCCGCATTCTTCTTCTTCTTGGTGGTGAGGGTCTTTAAGTGTAAAGAGAAGGTCTGATTGATACATCAGATCACAAATGCACAGAGGAACATAACCACTGAAAAGGTAATGTCATCAGTACTTTTATTTTTGTGGAGTTCGGAGGGTTTAGCAACATTAGGAAGTTCACTGACAATTTTTCACTAAATAAAGATGGTGGGTAATTCATAAGGTGAATCATCCAGTGATTAAGACTAATTTAATTTGATGATTATTAGGCCAACAAACATAAATATATCAATAAAGGCCACTACTACACCTGAATGTGAGACCTAGCAGTGTGGACGCTTTGAAACTTTTAGAAATTTAGATCTTCCTGTATGGGGGTGATGTTGTTCATGATAGGCACCTTAAACGCTAGGCAAGACTTAGATATAACTGAAAAGTTAACTGATTAAAAAAATAAGAGAAAATTCAGATGATTTTAAAAAATCTGAGATTTTTTCTTTTGGTTTGTCTTCAGAATTATCTGATGGTGGTGTGTTGGGGGACTTTTTCAATTTCAAAAAATCTGGCTATGTCTCTGCATAGGAGCTACCTATAGTGGGCTTTCACTGGAGCAAGACAAAGGCTGGGTTACCAACCAGAAAAGGTATACAACTGCCCTTGGCCCCCAGGCCCTATGATCACTGTGTGGCCATTGGTTTTTGGTTACACATAACAGAAATTTACACAGTGTTCGGAGAACGACGGTCAACTTTCCATGATACTTCACAATGTTTTGAGTGGTAACCAGTGAACAATTGAGGCATGAATGAGGAGCCAGCTGCTAGTGAGTTCTAGTGGAAGAGGAAAAACAGGCAAAAGAGGCAAGTTCCCATGAAGACAGAGTGATAAGGTCTAGTGATTGTGCAGAAAACTTTCAGTAACACATCACAATAAGGGACACAACATTTTGAATAGTTACAAATTAGGTACTAACTACGAGTAAACAATGAGTTAATGAGTAAGTCCTAATCAAATTTTATAGAGTAGCTAATGATTAGTTAATGATTAGTTCATTAAGAAACAAGTGAGGAACAAATCAGGAATTACTTGATAATTGATGAATTGTTAATAAGTATTTCCCTAATAATTCCTAATGGAGGACTATATAGTAGATATTGATCAGAGAGAGAGAAAGAGGTAACGACAGAGACAGAGACAAAGGCGCACAGCAACAACAGTAGCAACAACTGCACTAATAGTAGTGACTGATGATGATGATGATGAACATGAAGAGGATGATGATGACAACGACAACAACAACAACAACAATGGGGGATAATGAGCAGTGATTATAGTAATAATAGTATCTGTAGTAATAATAATAGTAATAATAATAATAATTAAAGCTGCAAGCAGCGTTGGGCGGGACCTCGCACTCCACGCAACTCGGGGCGTGCTGCAGCCGCGTCTCGTGCCGTCGTAACACGTGCGGACCACAACACGAAAATGTCACGTAAATCAGCTCAAAATCACCACGCAGCGCTTACCTCCTGTTGCCGGAAGGTGGCGCTATCACTATGTCATGTAGACATGTTCAAGGCGAGAAGTTTCACGTGAAGTTTCATTGACATTGGACCATGTACGCTGAAGTTATGAGGACGTTTTTCAGGGCAAAACTGTTTCAGAATATATGAAGTTTATTGGAGATTGGACATTGCACACTGAAGTTATGAGCCCTATTTTATGGCGAATCTGCTGAAATGGACAAGTTGTCACTGGCACGCGGTTTAATGTACAGTCACAGCTCAACTTTTCTATCAGTTTGTATGACGACAGCATTCAGTGGCCAACACTGACCTCACGCCATTCGACGCCGTTCAACGTACAGTCTCAAATAGCACAACTTTTAATCAGCACCATTTTTTGACTGTACTGACCAATTTTGAAGCAGATCTGATAAATTCCCTAGGAGGAGTTTGTTCAAATACAACGCGAAAAAATCACCAAAAATGCGCACGGAATTCACTATGGCCAACTTTGAGGGCACGCCACGGACACGCCCTTCAACGTACATGCACAAATAGCACAACCTTTAATCAGAACCATTTTTTGACTGTACTCACAAATTTTGAAGCAGATCCGATAAAATCCCTAGGAGGAGTTCGTTCAAATACAACGCGAAAAGTTCGCCGAAAGTGAAACTTTAAATCAAAATGGCCAACTTCCTGTGGGGTTTTGGGTATGGGTCCAAGAGGCTTTTTTGTAAGTCCCGGCATGTTACACGTGCCTACCGAGTTTCGTACATATCGGTGAAACGTGGCACCGGGCCTGCTGTTTTTTTATTCTGTAGGGGGCGCTACACACACGACAAACACGATTTTTGGTATGTGAGCTTCAGGCACTACTCTACACGTGCCCTGTGAATTTCATATTCATAACTATTGCGGTCTCCGCACAGTGATTTATCATGCCAAAAGAGCGCCACCTAGTGGTGTATTTTTTTGTCCTTTTTAAGTGAGCCTCAGGGAGCCACGGGGAAGCGTACCAAGTTTCATCTTAATCACACATACCATTGTAGAGATATAAACTTCTTCATTTTAAAGAGCGCCACCTAGTGGAAATGGCCTGAAATTATGCACAATGCTTAAGGAAGACATGTGGAACTATGGACCCAAGTTTGGTGTCAATCGGACAAACCAATGTGGAGAAATGGTCCACTTCCTTTTTTGACGAAAAATCCACAGGAAGTGCTAACTTTATAGCGTGCCTATTGTTTGAAATTTCAAAAATGTTCAAATTACTTTTTTTGCCAGGGTGGTCCCCAAGTGCTAGGTGAAAAATTTTGTGCGAATTGGACAAAGCGTGTAGGAGGAACACGAAAAAGTAGTTTAAAGACATTTTGCGCTCTAACGAAAAAAAATTATAGGCGGAAGTGGGCGGGGCCTATATAGGAAGATTCACCTCCATTCACCGAACGCGTGGATATACGTTTTTTTAATGTGCGACAAACTATGCAGAAGTTATTAAACGCATTTTTCATGATAGTAGCGCCACCTAGTGGCCAACCCGAAAGCGACGCATAGAATATAACATTTTTCACCAGGCCTGACCACTTTGCCAAATAAAATTGACTTTTCGTATATGTTCAGGGGGGCAAAAACGCAATCAAAAGTGCTAAAAATAATGAGTAAGAAGAAACATAGCAAATACAATAGGGACCTCCAGCGGTCGCTGGCTCAGTCCCTAATAATAATAATAACAACAACAACAATATCAGTGATATTAGCAATGGGTGTCAAGCAGGACCATGGCACGAGGCTCCACCAGGATCCATGACAACTGCGAGACGAGAAAGCACAAGAACTCCGGGGAAGAAGTGAAGTTAGTAACATGCATTAATGGGACATAAATGTGTGCAGAAAGAGAAAGAGAGGAAGAGAGGAGCTCAGTGCATCATGGGAAATCCCTGATAGTCTAGGCCTATAGCAGCATAACTAAGGGATGGTTCAGGACTCACCTGATCCAGCCCTAACTATAAGCTTTATCAAAGAGGAATGTCTTAAGCCTACTCTTAAATGTGGTGAGGGTGTCTGCCTCCCGAACCACAACTGGAAGCTGGTTCCACAGGAGAGGAGCTTGGTAACTGAAGGCTCTGGCTCCTGTTCTACTTTTTGAGACTATAGGAACCACAAGTAGCCCAGCATTCAGAGAACGTAGTGTTCTAGTGGGGTAATAGGGTACTATGAGCTCTTTAAGATATGAAGGGGCCTGACCATGAAGAGCTTTATAGGTGAGGAGGAGGATTTTAAATTCTATTCTGAATTTTACGGGGAGCCAGTGCAGAGAAGCTAGTACAGGAGAGATATGATCTACTCGTGCTGCAGCGTTCTGAATTAATTGGAGTGTCTTAATGGACTTATTGGGGCAGCCTGATAATAAGGAGTTGCAGTAATCCAGCCTAGAAGTAACAAATGCATGGATTAGTTTTTCTGCATCCGTCTGTGACAGTGTCTAATTTTTGTAATATTGCGTAAATGAAAAAAGGCAGTCCGGGAGGTCTGTTTTATGTGGGAATTAAAGGACAGGTCCTGATCAAAGATTACTCCAAGATTCCTGACAGTGGTGCTAGATGCCAAGGTAATACCATCTAGAGTAACTACATCTTTAGACAGTGAGTCGCTAAGGTTTTTGGGGCCAAGTACAAGAATTTCGTTTTTTTCTGAGTTTAGCATCAGAAAATTGCAGCTCATCCATGTCCTTAAGACATGTTGACTTATGTTAACTTAGATAACTGATTAATTTCATCGGGCTTGATTGACAGGTATAACTGGGTATCATCTGCATAACAGTGAAAGTTAATGGAGTGATTCCTAATAATATTGCCTAAGGGAACATATATACAGTGAATAGAATTGGTCCAAGTACAGAACCTTGACCAACTTTAGTATTTGTGGAGGATTCATCATTAACGTGTACAAACTGAGAACGATCTGATAAGTATGACTTAAAACAGCTTAGTGCGGTTCCTTTAATGCCGATATGATGCTCAAGTCTCTGTTAAAGAATATTATGGTCAATGGTGTCAAATGCAGCACTAAGATCTAATAATACAAGTATAGAGACAAGTCCATTGTCGGAAGCAATTAAAAGGTCATTATTACTTCAACCAGTGCTGTCTCTGTGCTGAACTCTAAATACTGACTGAAAAATGCAAAAGTTTTCTCTAGTACATTGTTCTTTCATTCATCAGAAAATGGACATTTTTATGGACATTACATTATTTTTACCTTTATAAAGAGGATTAGGGCCATGTGAAAAATTTATTTGAGTATTAATAATTGTATTAATGCAGTAGGTAACTTTTATAGAAAATAACGTTGTCATATTTGCTGATTTATTCCACTAAATTCTGACAGTAGTACATGAGACAGATCATCTGTGAAAAATGCAGGTTCCTCTGTAGTGCTCCTAATGGCATTTACAAGAATCCATTGGGTCTGCACAAAAACAACCGATCAGAGCGAAGAAATATACAAGGAAGCTTTGGGTTGGAGGGTTGGAGGGTTGGAGATAGTTGATTGTTCTCATCAAATGCAGACACTTTGAGACCCTAGGAATGATACTCGCAAATCTTTCTTAGTTCTGATTGGTTGTGTTCATTGGGCCCAGTGGATTCTTGTAAATGCCATTGGGAGCACTAGAATGAACCAGAGGAACCTTATTTTTTCACAGATTATCCGTCTCATGTACTACTGCAAGGATCTAGTGAATTATTATTAAATTATATATATTATTCTTGTATACAAGAATATTATTATAAAAAGTTACCTTCTGCAGCTTTAATGTTAGGATTCTGACATTAAGATCAAGTTTGAAGATAAAGTTTTGAGTACTTTCTTATATTTCTTTTTAATTTCAACTTAGAAGTGAAATCAGTTTTTCTCATGTGGCCCTAATCTTTATCCCTCGAACAGCTTTATTTTGAATGTCTTACGGTGTATTTTTGATTGGGCAAATTCAGTAAAGCGTAGGAGGGGGTCCTGCTTCACGCCAGCAAGAGGCGCTATTTCTGTAACTGAATAGAAGATCATCTCTCTTTTCCTTTATTCGAGTCTCTTGTTTGCTACAGCGGCTGCTAATACTCTCTTTCACTCTCTCTCTCTCCCTCTGTGTGTGTAAGTGAGTGAGTGAGGCTCGAGACAGATCCAGCCAGTCAGACGCCAGCAGTTAAGAGGAGCGCGAGCCGCCTCTGCTCTGTAACCACTCAGCACCACTCTGAACGCTGCACGCGCTGTTGTATTTCAGGACAGGCAGGGAAGCAGGACCCCGAGAGACCCGGACGACCGGACCAGGACCAGATCAGCTCAGAAGACACACCAGTGGACTAGTTAAGCATTAATTACTGCGAATACTTAGTGTAGTCCAGCGGACTGTACACTGTGTTGCACACTGTTACACACTGTACATAGTACCGATGTCGGAGCTTTCTTCAAGAAGGGACCCTGAGCTTCAGTGAGGGATGGATCGGTGCCGGGGAAGCATGTAGGGGACAGGATCATTTTGGAATAGTATAGACCTGCTGCTGTGACATTTTGACAAAGGTGTGGTGGTTGAACTCTGTGGCAGATCAAGTTTGGAAGGTGTTTTTGTTTCATTCTGTAAATAATATAAAATAATAAGATTCTGTGACTTGTGGTTGAGCTGTCCTGTAGAGCCTGTCTGCTCAGTGTAACTGCATGTGGAGCTGTGATTTTGTCCTGTTCATGTGCCATTCCCATTATTGTGTCCAGCAGCTGCAGCTCCACTGCAGCCTATCTGTGCTCAGTGTGTGTATCAGTGTGGGTTATTCACAGTGCTGCTATGCAGACTGACTGGAGCCACGCTCAGACAGCTCCACTGTAACCCTGATTCTGGGGCACAGGCCTGGACTGCTTGCACAGAAAGGAACCTTTACAGCTGAGGAAAAACTCCCTGCAAGTGTTGATCCAGAGGGACGACTCGTGCGGAATAGCAGATGTTACACAGCTTTGTGTCCTAATGTAGCAAGATTATTCAGGATGCTGCTATGCAGACAGAGTGGAGCCACGGAAAACCTGCTGGTGAAGTTAAAGTAACACACACAACTGCAGATTCTGTTAGTGCAGCTAGTGTTACACAGCTGAAAGTTTGTCTTATTGAACCAAACTCACACTAGTTGAGTATGAGTACATTCTAAATTAAAGTCTCACATAGACTGGGACCAAAGGTTGTGTCAAAGTCCCCACTGACTTTCTTACAGTAATGAAGCAAATGCTTCCAGCAAGAGAAAGTTCAGAAAGATGACATTCAGTGAGTGAAATATTTTGTTGGACAGGCTTTAGTTCAGTTTAATTTACATTTTGCATATTGAAAATAAGATTTGTTGTTTCACTTCAGCTTGTTAGTTACACTAATTGTTGGAAAATGAAGAACCCTCATCCACTGAGTAATACCTGGAATAGATCCTTGAACAAAGACCCAGTACTGATCACTGCGCCAGGCACTAACAAGAAGTTCAAGAGGAAGTCCCGGGAGCCTAAGAGGCTTTTCAGCGACCCTGAGCCTGAGAAGATGAAAACCTACCCAGCGGACATGTCTGATGCGGACTCTGTGGATGAGACAGAGGCCTGTAGTGTCAGCAGGTTGGCTCCGTTACAGAGGCAGCTGATGATGTCACAGGAGGCGATGGCCAGCACTGCAGGGATTCTGTCAGGACTGCCAGAACGCAACGTAGCTCCAGCTCAGAGTGGTGCCATAGACATGAGAATTGGGATTAATGTGCCTGCCATCACTTCTAAACCGTCCCAGTTACCTGCCTTCTCTAACCCAGAGATCTCCCACTGGCCCACGGCCATCTCCCAGCCTCTGTCCAACAGACTCAAACTGGGCCTCCGCTCCACTTTCCCTCTGTCAACATCTACCAGCAGCCATAGCCACTCACCCAGCCAGCAGGTCTTCTCCCTGGATCCCCCTCAGTCAGGCCAGAGTGCAGCTCTGTCAGTCCCTAGAGCCTCCCAGACCTCCCAGTGTCACGATCACACGACGCCCCAGGTCCAGTCACCTAAGGTGAATGTATGGAGTGTCACTATTTTACCTATGAAATATCTATGATATATCTGTTATGAAATTACAGCTGAAATAATTAATCAGTTAATTAATTACAGAAAATTAAGAAGCAACAATTTTGTAGTCTATTAATAGTTTAATTATTAAGTTCCAAGCATTGACTGGCTGATTTTTGTGTGAGGATTTGCTGCTTTTCTCTCTCTTGATGTCATTGTAAACTAATCATCTGTCTGTTAGTCAGACAAAACAAGATATGTGTCACCTATGTGACTCACTATTCACTATTTTCTCTCATTTTATAGACTGAGTGGATTAATGGATTGAAAAATAATAAATAGATTAATCAGCAATTAAAATAATCATTAGTTATAAGTATATTACTCCTGTGCAACTGCTGTGCATCTCACCTCTTTTCAGGTTTATCTTGTGCTAATCAAGGATGAAACGATGCTCAACTTGTAGTTCAATTCGCGATTTTGGGTTCAAAATTTGATTTTGATTTTTGATTTTGATTTTAACAGTAAGTAAGACTGAAGACCAATTATGACTGAAAAAAATATTTATTTTGATACACACACACACAACATATTTTCTCTTATATTTTCTTTATAAAACTAAAGAGTCATTTTTATTTCTGAGGTAGGGTATAAGCTGTCCAAAATAATGCATATTAGGGCTGCATGATATGGTAAAAGGTCGAGACAGAAGACCACCCCCCTAGAGCCGAAGGATCTGTCCTAGGTTTCTGCCTTTTATCAGGCAGTTTTTCCTTGCCCCCGTCGCCAAGTGCTTGCTCATGGTGGTGCTGTTGGGTCTCTGTAAATAATGTTATAAGGAGTTCGGTCTAGACCTGCTCTATTTGAAAAGTGTCCTGAGATAACTTCTGTTATGAATTGGTGCTATACAAATAAAATTTAATTGAATTAAAAATATTATACTGCGATTGCAATATGATTCACAATTAGTGTTGGAATGACCATTTTTGCATCACACATTTAATTTGTATTAAGTATTAAAATCATGATGATGGGGGTCTTAAACAAACTAATATGTTTTACTAAATCTGATGAATAAGATTTGTAGAACTATACTACTTCTTTAATGCTGTTTGTCACATTTGACCTTTATCAAAAATTGCAGCTTCTGCAATTTGGATATTGCACTGATATTGATATTGATAATATTTAGATTAATCGTGCAGCTCTAATGCATATTTCCTTTTCTTTGCAAAAGTGAAGCTGAAGATATAACCCTGTGTCAACTACAGAAAACAGCCTCATATGTCTTTCCATGTCTTGTCTGTTACCTTCCTACCCTTTTCATTTTCTGACTGGGTCAAAAAGCAAGCTCCCACAACTCCAAAGTTAAACAGGATGGTAAATCTTCAATTTCAAAGTCTTTACCTGCGACTGCCATGTATTTTTGCCTTGATACAGCTACTGATGTGAGTGATGCAGGATGTTGAACAAGCAAAGTCAAAAGTAGAAAACGCTCTCTTCTGTTTAAAAAGAGCATCATCCTTCCCGATACTGATTCTAATACCTGAACTTTGCGTATTGTACCAATTAGATACATGTAAATTAAAGAAATATATATATACTGTATGTATATACTACTGCTATACTACGTATTGTTTAAGAAGCATACACTACTTAGCCTATTTTGCTGTCATTGTTGTATGTCCTAGTTCAGGTTAGACTGTTTATCAGGGTCAGAGTGGAGCGGGTCATGACTGATGCTATCCTGGGGGAAAATAGTGAACTGGGACACTGCTGGGAAGTAGGGACCCTGCTACTTCCCAGCAGTGTCCTGTTTTGGGGCTAATAAATTATGTGGTTACTGGCCAATACTAGATAGCACATTTTAGGCAGTTAGTAACTGTATGCTGTCTATGAGTACAGACCTGAGAGTAAGTGAACTGAACTGTTCCAGTGAGCTGCAATCAGTCTGACATTGTGATTAAACAAAAGCAATATGATGCCTCCTTGTTTCCTGGTTGACATTATGAACTCACCACAGAAAATCTGGCTTAACCAGTTATTTCCTCCTCTACTGAGTCCAAAAATCGTAAAATATCTGCCCACCCAGTGAAGGAACATTTTTTTTGAAAGTGTTTTTTTGCCTTTTATGATAGAGACATCTGAAGATAGACAGGAAAGGGGGACAGAGAGAGGGGATGACACACAGCAAAGGGCTGCAGGTCAGATTCGAACCCTGGGCCGCTCCAGCACTTTTAACAAAACAAGGGAAAGGCCAACAAAAGTTTTAAACAGGACTTACGTGAGACTAAATGACTGGTTCAGATGGACTGTTATATTTACTAATGTTTCTTCATCATTTACTGTAGTTCAGTTCATATGATCCAGATTATGGATTATATGGTTATATGGTTCTGATTATGGTGAGGTGTTAACCAGGTTGGGTCAGAATAGTGAACTGCTGCCACCTGGATCTGAGAGAATGTATCCATGGGCCTGGGTCGCAGTGTACCATGCGTGGTACATCCGTGATGTCCTGTGTTTCTGCTATAGCCTTACAGCAGGTCATAGCCGCACTGTGCTGCACTGCTGTGTTAATGTGACCACAGCCAACCCAGGAGAGGAAGTCTGTGTTCAGCTCTCAGTACCTAAATGTCTGTGGTTGGGAGTTTACTTTTACTCCTGCGTACCTGTTTGTACTTTCACATATCAGCCTTATTTTACTGTTAATGGTGGCTTTCAGCTGTATTGGTTTTACATTACTGCTCATACAAACAGAACCTTTCCTACTGTTGTTCTTAACTTTTTAGGTGGATGCTTTTATTGTGGAGAATGTGTTATGTGTTCGTCACAAAGCAAGCAGAGCTTCATTATAGTGGTGCTAGTCTTCAATACAAACAAAATCAACCAGATATAGATAAATTCTGCGCAGTGGATCATTTTAAAATATTGTAGGGAGGAATGTGGCTCAGGATATAGAGTGGGTTGTCTCTTATTAAAAGGTTGGAGGTTCAATCCCTGGCTCTTCCCACTGCATGTCAAGTATCCTTGAGCAAGATACTGAACCCCAAATTGCTCCCGATGCTGTGCATTGGGTGTGTGAATGGATTTGTTTCTGTTCTGATGAGCTTTTTCCATCAGTGTGTGAATGTGGCATATAGTGTAAAGGGCTTTGAGTGGTCAGAAGTAGTAGATCTAAAAAGGATGCTATATAAATGCAGTGAAGTCCATTTAAGACAAACAGAAGCCACCACAGTGAGCTGCAGGCGACAGGCTCTTATTGGGGTTTGTGACTTGCACAACTCTAATATGTCATCAAGGTCATCAAAGTTTTTCTTGCTGTGTTTTGCAGTGGCAAAATACTTGCAATAGTTACTGTGCCAGTCCAGCTCGCAGCTTTTCACAGTATGGCTTGCTACAATCCCCTCAGTGAAAGTTGAAGGTGCTTTGATAATAAAAAAAAAACTCAAGATGTTGAAAGTGCTTGGATTTAGCCAGACACTCATGCACTGTGTCATTTCAAAATTCACCTATGATTAAATTTTTAAACGTCTGGAGCGTATGATGATGTAATAAAATGACCTCCCCCCGATTCTACAGCCAACTATTTAAGGTAAACCATTCAAAGTGTGTGCTGTGAAGGGTGATTGATAAATGTGAACATGTAGGTGAGTTATTGGCCCTATAATTTGTCCTTGAAATGTATCATTACAAAAGAGTGGCATCCCTGCCTCCCTGCCCCCCCCCCACAATGCAAAACTCCTATGTGGGTGAAAATATCTTTTCTAGAGAACTAGAAGTTGCCACCTAGAAGTTGGATACTAGTGTGCTGTTGTTCAGTTCAGAAAAACAAATTGGTAACGACCTACTTTTGAGCAGTGCTATTATCTCTCTTCTCTTCTGCTCTCAGGAGTCTCCCAGGAAGCGGCTTGTGGGGTGTGACGAGGGCCCTGGGCGTCTTCCAGAGGTCAAAGCCATCCAGCAGACCAGGAGGCTACTAGCCAACGCCCGAGAGAGGACCCGTGTCCACACCATCAGTGCTGCGTTTGAGGCCCTAAGAAAGCAGGTCAGACTCACTGTCCACACTGAAAACACATAAACAACAGTGTATAACAGCGTGTGTAAGCTCAAGCACATACAATCTGTACTCAGAATCCCATACAAGGTGTTTTTGGTAACAATATATGTGTAGAGGATGGTCTCAATGTGCAGAGATCATCTGCAGTCTGTAACTAAAATGATGCATTTTTTTCTGATCCCAAGTTCTCCGAGTTTGTCATTTGAAGCACTGTATAATCACACCACATCCAGTGCCGCAGTGTAGACCAGTGCAAAAGAGAGATTATATTAAGATCAGATTGAAAATGTAACTGTTGTGTTATGATTGTACCATTTTATCTGTGAACAATAGGCTGCTGAATTACAGAAGCTAGTGAACCAGGCTATGGAGAAAAATATATGAGATACAGTCAGTCAGGCTCAGGGTTGGGATAAGGCTGGAATTTGTGTAGCTCTTAATTTTTTTTTTAGCAGTCTTGCTTAAGAAGGCAAAACGCCTCATGAATCTCCCATAAAGCTCCACTGTGATCCACAATTGACAGAACCATGAAGGAACCATGTGAAGAGTGTGAACACAGAACTGGGCATGTTCATTGACCTCTGACACTGAACTACTGTTGAAGAATATACACTTGTACTGTATACATGTGTTTGTATGTATATCTCCCCTGGAATAAGATGCACCAAAAACAATTAAATGTGCTTTGTTGTGGTTTTTCTACAGGTCTTCCATCGTCCTTCTCTTTGTTTCCATTCTAATTAATGTGCCAATCAACAAGTAAAAAACATCTTCTGCCCATCTGCCTCCATTTCCTCCTCTCTCCAGGTGCCATGCTATTCCTATGGGCAGAAGCTATCCAAGCTGGCGATTCTACGAATAGCCTGCAACTACATCCTGTCTCTAGCTCAGTTGGCTGAGCTGGACTACAGTTCAGACCACAGCAGTTTGAGCTTCTCTCAGTGTGTGGAACAGTGCACCAGGACCCTGCAGGCCGAGGGCAGGAGCAAGAAGAGGAAGGTGAGGCTGCGCTCTTTCACTATTCTAAAATAGTGGCTACAAAAACCAGTGAATGAGGCCTTTATTTCTAATTTCCTCTGCTTTATAATTATATATTGATTATATTTTAGTAAGAAGCCTGCTTGTTGCTAGGCCCTTTGTCCCACTGTAACCAGTCCACTTAACCTGTCTGTCCCACTATAACCAGTCCACTCAACTCACTGCCCCACTATAACCAGTCTACCTAACCTCTCTGTCCCACTATTATTTCGCCAGGCTTCCAACAGGCTGTATAAAAGAGCTTATGATGCTTAGTGTTGAAATGTAGTCACAGCTGATGGACAATGTTTCCCACATGTCAGATTTTTAATTTTAAGATGCCAGCCGTATTATCTGCCTGGAGATTTCACCAGTTGTTGTTTTTGTTGCTGCTGTTTATATTACTACACATACAAGGAACTGTATGAGGTCATCAGCATTCACATGACAAAACAACCCTATTTTTATTAATAGACGTCAGAACTGTTTTACCTAAATTCCACCAGCATGTCCACATCCCCACCAAGGAAACATTATCACAGAAAACTTTCCTGGGGGCCTGGACCCTTGCCAGTTTGCAACCAACAGATCCACAGAGGATGCCATCTCCACTGATTTCAGCTCAGCGTTCAACACAATCTCCCCCGTAAAACTGATTGGTAAACTCAGTACTCTGGCCCTGGGTACCACACTCTGCAACTGGATATTGGACTTCCTCACAAACAGACCCCAGATCGTTCGGATTGGTGGTCACACACCAATCACTCTAGTGCTCAACACTGGAGTCCCTCAAGGCTGTGTGCTCAGCCCCCGCCTGTTCATGTGACTTTTTGTTTGCATCTGTTAACTTTGTAACAGATGCATCTTAGAATGTAGCAAATTATAATACTTGTTATATAAAGTACAAGTAAAATGACTTGAGAAAAGTACACAAAAAATGACTTTGTTACGGTAATGATAATTGATAATTTGCTCCTTAACGCTTCAGTACCACCAACAATACACTTTCTGCCCATGACAGGCTACAGTGCAAGTATAAGTTTACTTTGTCTCTGGTTCCCTACAGTGGGACCAAAAGGAGTGTTTCTATATAGTTTTCTATATCTAGTGTTTCTATAGAAGGATAGACCTTTTTTTCTTCCTTCTAAAAATAAAAAACATTTTAAAACATATTTAAATTATTTGTGTCTCCAAAAAGGGATGACTAAATGATATTTCAGTTGGACTTTGTTTCTAACAAAGCGATACAGGAGCAAGACCGAAAGGGCCAATATAACACATTCAACACCCTTGAGGTTAAAAAATAAATATATTTCAAAGTGAGTGTACAGCTCTCCTCCAGCTCTGCACTGTTGCAGCCATGTTGCTCTTTTAGATGCACACTAGCTGAGGACTTTTTCCCTGTTTGCTTTGCTGTTTCTCTGTGTGCATGCTGGCGTTTGTGTGTGTGTGTGTGTGTGTGTGTGTGTGTGTGTGTGTGTGTGTGTGTTCACAAAGTCCCAGACACCAGATGTTTAGAGTGGAGGGGAAGTGGAGCTGGCGCCATGAAGGGCAGAGGGCAGGGAGAAGGCACGCGAACTGAAACCACACACACACACACACACACACACACACACACACACACCTTGGCACATTCCCCAGCAGTCTCTCCAACACATTCCCCCACTCTGCCTCTCCAGGCCATCTGCTCCAACATACTTTGAAACAAGGAGGGGAAAAAACACAGTCATCATCAGCTTGTCAGACAGCAGCAGCTGGTGGAAAGAGAGAGAGGGGGTTGGGGGTGGAGTGGTGTGTGTACGTTGTGGGGGGGGGGGCAAGAATTAAATGCTTTTTTTTTATTGTCTCAGAGCCACTGAGTCTTGTGTGTGCACAGTTTGCAGGGGAAAAAATACTTTTTTGCTTCATTGTGATTTTGCCACCACCATAGGCCACCTCAGAAACAGCAGGACAAACCTCAGACCTGGAGCCTGACTGGAGGAAAACTGTGTACTAACTGAGTAATAATGTGCTGTATAGAATAAGTATATATTTTACTTAAAGAGGAACTCCAAACTAAATCATGGGGGGGCTGTTGGGGGGGACCATGGTAGCAGCTGCAGCTGCAAGTATAAATAGTGCTGGCTGATCGTAGCCATAGCCCCAGTCTGTGTCTCTTACTCATAGCTGCCAGTAGTGTTTGCATGCTGTCGTACATGAAAGAGATATTTATTCCTCTTCATCCTCTTTGTCTTAGTGTATTGTATTTTTTGATACATTTCCTTTCAAATGGTTTACATTATCAAGTGGAATGATTAGGTTTTCTTTTCTGCTACAGAGTTGGTAATTGTCTTGTCTTCTTTCTACCCAAAATTCAGATTTACGATGATTAAAATACAGTTTTGTTTGTTAAAATCAAAGTAATGGAAATATCCAGCTTCCAAACTAGGTTCTTCCATGATTACAAAAATGAATCCAAGGATGTGGTTGGATTTCAGATCAGTAGGGGGTGACAACAAGGTTGTAACTATTTTTTTTATTTTTCATTTTTAGTTGGTTGGGGGATTTATTAGTAATTAGTTTTTGTCATATACTGTATGTAGTTATACTACGAACACTGTGTAAGGATGTCCTCACTGTGTGGGATTTAAAGATTTCGGATTTCCATAAAAACTTCACCAGTAGATGTTTAAACCAGGAGCAGTCAGAGCTGATGAGAGTGGCCTGTTTTAATGGACTCTTTCCTCTGTGTTTCAGGAGTGAAGCTGACAGCAGTGGACAGGTCCAACACATACCCCTTTGACAAAACTATGTGGATGCAGCACACTGGGAGGACGAGAGGAAATGGACAAATGGACAGGATGATTTATACATATGTTGTTATGAGTTGCTTTCACCACACATTGCCAGATTAACTAACATATCTAAGATGAAAAGTTCTGTATGTCGAGGCCATGACAGCTAACTGATTAAAAAGATTCAGCAAACAGAATCCTTCAGCAATAATCTTCACTCAACTATGCATACAGCTACACATATTGCATTACTGTGCTCCAATTCTGCATTTTCCACTGCCACCCTTTCAATTCCATGTTTGAGTCTGTATTTCCTGGCAAACCTAATTTCTGTGCTGAAATCATCAGAGCATGCAGCTGGTCTGGTGGCAGGTGTGTAAAAAGCTCCAGTTTAATGAGCAGAAAACATTTGAAATCAAACTGCAGTTCAAGAAGCTCATTCATTCATTGGTTTTTATATTAGACGTTTGCTTTATAGTTTATGTGCCTGTTATATTTCAAAATATGCAAATTGTTTATTCAATAAAAATAAAAATAAAAAGTAATACCTCTGCTGATTTTTCACTGACACCAATACAATAGCTCTACTATACATTGTATTTCTCACCATGTGCATTAACATTAATGCCACAACAACAGATACAACCAACAGTAATATTAAAGGGGAATTACAGTGAAAAAATCTGTGCATCACTGGATTCCCATAATACAACTCGATTGCCCATATTCCATAGCTTTGATATCCTGATACCGTCAGACACATCAACAGGGTGATTTTCTCAGACCTGACTAACAGCTCCTCCAGAGCCACAGAAGCAATGTTGGGAGGTAACTCAGTAAAACTAGTAAGAATATTACTTTCCCCGGTAACTAGTAGTGTAACTACATTGATTTGAAATCCAATGATCCGACCACATCCTTGGATACATTTTTGTAATCAAGGAGGAAACTAGAGTAAACTAAGGTATTACAACAAGTAGTGCAACAGGTTATTTTTGGCAGAGTAATACGTTTTCAATTACTTTTGAAAAGACTAATGAGTAATACATTACAAGTTTTAAGTAACTAGCCCAACACTGCACAGAACACATTATACAAGTGATTTCACAAGCTGAGTAGTGGTGACCATGGCTGGTACACTGATGTTAATATTAATATATGGTGCTGTTGATGCAGGAGGATGATGTGCATGAGTGACAACACTGACAGAAAAGCAGAAAGGACCACACAGCAGCAGACTCCGGCTCTTCGAGGGTCAGGGGGGGAAAAAATAAAAAGGGCATCAGTATGCAGAAAGGTGATGCATTCATGGTGAAACAGTTTAGTCAGGGTTAGGATCGGCAGCCTAGATGATAGTTCACCACATTTATCCACTGGAAGGGCACCCTAGAGCAATTTTGTATCATGTTTTATCTACCTAAGGGGCATCCATGTTTTTTCAGACATATAAATGTGAATATTATGCCTGCTTCATAGATAAATACATTTTTTATTAAAATACAAATTCTCCAAAAGCTCCAACGTTTGGGGCTCCATTTTCCTAGAACAAGGCACTGATGCAAAAAGCATCAGATGAAGAGATGCTCATCTCGATGAAGCACCTGAAGTTTATACACTGAACAAAATTATAAACGCAACACTTATGTTTTTGCCCCCATTCATCATGAGCTGAACTCAAAGATCTAAGACTTTCTCTATGTACACAAAAGGCCTATTTCTCTCAAATATTGTTCACAAATCTGTCAAAATCTGTGTTAGTGAGCACTTCTCCTTTGCCGAGATAATCCATCCACCTCACAGTGTGGCAAATCAAGATGCTGATCAGACAGCATGGGTATTGCACAGGTCACTAACACAGATTTTGACAGATTTGTGAACAATATTTGAGAGAAATAGATCTTTTGTGTACATAGAGAAAGTCTTAGGTCTTTGAGTTCAGCTCATGATGAATGGGGACAAAAACAAAAGGGTTGCGTTCATAATTTTGTTCAGTGTAAATAAAATAAATTCACCTCACCCCACACAATATACATCACATCTAACAGGCTGTCAGTGGCAGGATGAACAGAAAAGTATGTTAGTGCCTCAGCTGCAGGAATTTTGGTGGTGCTGGTTACATCAATCATAAAAGCCAATTAATACATTTAAAGTGAGCGCCTCTTCTCTCATTTATATATGAAGTCCAATAAATATAAACACGTCCATATAATGAAAAAAAAATTAGAGGCATGCTGGTGACTGTGTGCTGTAGCTCAGGGGTTCCCAACTTTTTTTCTGCCGTCAATAACTGCGGAAGTTTGTGTAAACGAGCAATTTGGATGGATTTTGAGCACATTATTTCCTGTGAATGTTACATCACAGATGAGTTTTCCTGATAATTTTATAGTTTTTTTTATACAATTGTCTGTATTATGGATTATTTATTTCTGAACAATCATACATACTTAATAGCCTTTTTTTTTGACAAATCCTGTTTTTTCTTCTCATTGTTCTATTAGATTATTTTTTTCAACATTTAGGAGGATCTGTTGGCAGATATGGAACACCACATTCATGTGTATGTTTACATTGGTGTATAGTCACCTGAAAATAGGCATTGTTGTGTTTTTGTTACCTTAGAATGAGGTCACCTTGTATGGAGTCCGCCATGTTGAACCACTATGTTTCTACCATAGTTTCTCTTACATGCTTTACAGCCCGTTCTCATTCCCAGGTCGTCAGATACAGACACCACTGGTGTTCAGTTAGTTGCAATCTGCAACTTGACTACTAGACGCCACTAAACATGGAAATACTACTAAGTAAGTACATCAAAAAGTACTTATTTACACCCGCCACTGGCTTCAAATGTATATCGTTTCCAAATATCAGTTACCTTTATTACTAATAATCGTTACCTGTATCATCCATAATCGTCGGCCCTTAATGGAGGGTCAAAGTAACAAATGACATATAGAATAAGATGAAAGGTGAAAGAGAGGAGGGCACAATCTCAGAATGTAAATGCTTACTTGAACTGCTCTTTTTTTTTTTTTTTTTTACGTTTAACTTAGTTTTAAAAGGAACTCCCTGACTTTCAGGGAAATGTGCTTGTTTACAGTCTTGCGTGGTTACAGACGAGAAGTATCAGATTCATCTGTGGAGTCCTGCCCAGATACTGTAGGCTTCAGATGTGTTTACATAGCTAAGCACAGAGGCTAGAGGAGCTGCTGGCATATAACACAACAGTTATATTGAAAAAGTTTGAGTGGTCGGAAGACTAGAAAGGCGCTGTACAAGTACAGGTCACATGGCTAATTTTAATATTCAAATAAGTATTAAACTAATTTGTCTGTAACTAAAAAATAAATGTAAATTAATCTGTAACCTTTTTTGTTACAGTCCGCATTTAAATGCCCTGTCCTGCAGCCGGACACTCATTTGTCCTCCTTTTGAGAAAATAACAAAAACGGTCTGTCTTTTGACACATTACCTTGTTAGTTTAATACTTATTGGCTTAAAATGGGTGTCAAAATAAGTAATTTCATAGGTTACATTTTTTTCAACACATGGCTAATTTTAATATTCAAATGAGCCATGTGTTGATTGCCACAACACCTGATCTGTATCTAGTGCTCACAAGATAGTGTCCAGTGCGCACTAGAAATGTTTCTTTTTTCTTTTTTTTCCCCCATGTCCCTTTAGGGGCTCCGTATGAATCAACACAATGCAATGAAAAATAATATGATGCTATGCAACTCAATGTGGTACAGATCGTTTGACTTTATTATTTTGGTTCTTCTTCAGCAGCTTGAGGAACAGTTTAGAGAGGAAATATCAATCTACAAATAAAATTACTGGTCACATTTCTGTATAATAAAGGCTTAGGATGTCAACAAATAATTATATACAAATAGTTTTTTACCAATGCAAAGATGTTAGAAATGATGCATCATACTAAAAACATCAGCACTGCATCTTCAACTTTTGGTTGCACCAATGGGATCTGTGAATCTTACCATATCTAACAGAAGTGAACTTTCTTCACTTTCACTCTCACTGACAGATTTAGAATATAGGTTAGGGCCTGCTGGGCTCCTACATTGCACCTTCACAAACACATTTATGGCTATATAACAGTGGCATGTTAACATTGCTCATCATGACCACTGTTATATTTTTAAAATGTATCTTTAAAAAAAGATGAGAATTACATTCACTTTTGATATGATGTTGGACTATTTTTGCCTATTTTCCTCAGGGCTATAAGGCATAAAGCTAGCATCAATTCTGCTTGCAATCTCTTTCCATGCATCCTTTAATCCGGTACTAAACTGCCCTTTTATTTTACATTTTCTCTTATGTACCCCATCTACCTACTACCTACCCTTGTTGTAACTGTTTGACCAAGTTTAACAAATTCCCCCCCTGGGGATCAATAAAGTATTTCTGATTCTGATTCTGAAGTTTAAAGGTTCAGTGTGTAAATTTCAGTGGCATCTAGCAGTGTAGTTGCTGTGCGTTTGTACAATTTTGATGTACCTATGAATATTGTATTCCATTTCTGACAATAGATCCTCCTAAATGTTACACTGGACCTTTAAACTAATAAAAAGGATACATGCGTTCTGTATACACAGTCCCCATGATTCATATTTTACAACACAAACAAATATTTCATTGCAATGCAGTGGTATAAAACACACACACCAACAACACACATCAAAGCTTGTATTAGAGCAGAAAAGAGAAAAAAGAAAACTTCTTCCAGTGTTGCCACTCTTTTACATAATTTTCCAGGAGTAAATTCCGGACACAATATAATTTATCGGTAGGCGTAGCATTAACTTTAAGTTCAGTTTTATGCCTGCCTCAGGTTCATTATGACACCACAAAGACTGCTGCAAATCTGCTCCACTCTGCGTCTGGTGTGAACAGTTATATTGCCTGACATGGCCAAAAGGAAAGGGGAGCATTAAAAACGTTTTTCCGTTCTGTTTCACGTCTGGTTAACCCACTTTGAAGTGTCACACCACGCAGCTACCAACTGTAGGCAACCTGAGTGAGGGGCTAAAATACAATTAACATTTTTCAGGACAAAATAGATTATTTAATTTTAATCAATTTCCAGGTGTTTCCATGACTGTAAAACTAGTCTCTAAATTTCCAGATTTTCCAGGACGCACGGACAGTCATTATTTGGGCAATTTCCCCAAATTTCAACAACTGTCCTATTATTCAAACCACAACTGAAATGATTGAAGGATGCTGATACCAGTAATTAAAATCCCTCCGATACTGCCTAAAATGTGGGATTGGGTATCAAGTATGCCATCCAATACCACATCATTTATTAGCCACCTTCTCTGAGGATTGGTTTACCCTGACATTGTCAGGTTAAAAAAAAAGTACAATTTCCACATTAAAACCCTTGGAGTCATCTACTCCTTCTACCTCATTAAAAAACTATGAATATACAAATTTGGGTCAATTTTGGGTTTTCTTGCTAGACACACGATATCTAAGTCCATTCTCAGTGTATGTGCACTGGTGACTTCAAGTTTCTAAATCATATTTTTCACTTTGATTTTCGGGATCACACACCAAACAAGCAAAATGTCACACTGATCATGCCACTTTACACTATGTTAAGATTCAAACCAAATGTTTTTGAAAGTGTTACATCATTACTCTAAATGATCGCTCCTTATTGAAAGCACAGAATAGGCAGGTACATAACCAAGTTCAGTCCAGTGTCCTGTCCATTCCTTCTCCTCCAGAGGATTTTTGCTGTATGTTGCTTAAAAACGCACCTCACTTCAGATCTGTATGTGGGTCTTGTCAGCGCACCACACAGACGTCCAGTATACAGAATCTGGCTCTACAGGTGGGGCAGGGGACCCTGCTGGACAACCAGGTCTCAGGTCTTTGCTGGTCTTGGCGGCTTGCAAACCATCGACCCAGACAGGAAAGACACCACATGGGTCTACAGAAACACTGCTGGCACTCATTCTCAGCTCCTGTAACACACATCAGTCACAGTCAGAGGCACAGCCACAGTAATACACACACGCACACGCACGCACACGCGCACACACACACACGCACGCGCACGCACGCACACACGCACGCACGCAAACACACACACACACCTTCTGTGTGGCAGAGACTGACGAGCTTGGTGTTTGCCGGAACCTGCATACAGCCGATACAGGGCTCCATCTCCTGGAGAGAGGTTTTCATTGTGATCACACAGACAGGACTATTAAACGCAGCAGTTACAGAAACACACATACAGTAGTGTACCTGTCCACTGGGGAGCGTGTATGGCTGGTTGAGGTCCACCTGAGCTCTGAATGTTTCCAGGAAGAGTTCACTGATGGTTTGGTGGATCACTACATTGGCTGAGTTTCTGATGGGAGCATGGAGCTTCTCTCTGAGCTCTGCATACTCTGTAGAGTTAAGCCTGGAAACACAGAAAAACTTACTTGGGTTTTTGAGACATGGCATTTGCTGTTTTGTCGTGACAGCTCAAGATCCACACTGGTCTAAAACACACCTGATATCAAAGGATCTGACAGCCGGGTTGATGCTTTCCACTCTCAGAGTCAAGATCTGTGCAGGGGAGACCGAGTCTGGACTAAGCTGGTGCTGTCTAGACTCTGTCACAGTCACATGACAATCACTCTGTAAGGCCATGTAGACGTGATATGTGGTCACCTAGAGAGTGTCAGACATGTGGATGAATGTAAATAGTTTTTGATTTGCTGATTTGGAATACTTTCAAAATGAAAACGGTAAACAAGACATAACCACCCTGATGAAAGCAAGATAATCGGAAATGTTGAATAATGGACTTTCAAACTGGTGTAAGCTGTTAACATGGGCACCAAAAAAAGCAAAACGTTCTGCAATATGAGCAATTATCTCTACATCTCTGTATATATAGAAAGTGTATATATAACTCTCATTTTGTATCTGTATTATTATTACGTCTTCTATTTAGGGACCGAGCCAGTGTCAAACACTGTGAAGTCCCTCTTGTAATCCTAGGAGTTATTATTATTAACTCCTGGGGTGAATGCATATTTGGTGGCCTAAACATGCTCGAATGATGATGGAAATTTGCACAAAATTCAATCATTTCCAAACTAACAGTATACAACTGTCCCCGTGCACGAATGCCATCAAATGGCGGAGCCCCCGCCCCCCCCCAAATCAGCCCCCAAGACCTGTAAGGCCGACATGTACGAAAACCGGTACGCATGTGTATCGTGATAAAAGAAGCAGAAAAGCCTCTTGGACCCATACCTTAAACCCAATAGGAAGTCAGCCATTTTGGATTTTATGGTCATTTATGGCGATTTTCTGCGTGGCATTGCATGCAGGGAATTTATCGGATCGTCTCCACACTTGGACACAGCCATCTAAAGACCTTCATGACTAAAAGTCGCACTATTTACGACATTCTGTTGAACAGTGTGGACGTGGCGTGGCGTCACGTGGCATCCAATTTCGATCCTCGCCATGAAAATAGGGATTATTCATTACTTCAACGTCCATGATCCGACTGCAACGAAAACTTCACGTTTGATAAGAGTCCCGCCCTGAACACGTCTATGTGATAATATTCAGTAATAGTGAGAGCGCCACCTAGTGGTAACAGGAAGTATAACGTTTTATACTTTCATGTTCGACTCCTAGCAGGATGATCAGATCCACCTGAAATTTACTTATGAAATGCAAAACACATTGTTGATAATATGTGATGAATGTGGTTAGTGGGCGTGTCGGTGGCGTGGCGTCAAATTTTGATGTACCGCTACAAAACACTAGTTTGCTATAACTTGAGTGTACATTGTCCATTCGGCTCCAAACTTCACTTGTCTGATAAGAGTCCTGCCCTGAACTCATCTATGTGATAATATTCACTAATAGTGAGAGTGCCACCTAGTGGTGGAATTCATTACACTTTAACGTATTTCTCCCAGCAGATTGAACACATCTGCTGGGTCAGAAGACCCTAAGAATGTGGACAATGACATCTTACAAATTACAAAACGCATTTTGCGCGGGCTAAACAGGCTCAACACCTCATGAGACTTGGCACACACGTCCCACATGGCAGCATTTTAAATTTCATATGGATGTTGCCTGTGGGTGTGTCAAAATGACTCGATAGCGCCCCCTACAAACTTTCAAAAAAACAGCCCTGGTGTCCCGTTTAAGGGACATGAATGAAAATTGGCAGGCATATATAGCAAGTTAGGACGTACAAAAAAGTCTCTTGGACCCATACCCCAAACCCCACAGAAAGTCAGTCATTTTGATTTTCATTTTTGGCAGCCATTATGATTTTCATTTTCGGACAATTTTTGCCAAGTATTTGAATGAACTCCTCTTAGGGAATTAATGTGATCTAAACGCTGTGCTATTTGTGACTGTACGTCAAAAGGCGTGTCCATGGCGTGCCGTCAAAGTTGGCCATTTTGAATTCTGTGGTTACTGTCAGTGAATTTTTTGCCTTGTATGTGAACGAACACCTCCTAGGGAATTTATGTGATCTCCTTCAAAATTGGTCAGTACAGTCAGAAAATGTTGCTGATTGAACGCTGTGCTATTTGTGACTGTACGTTGAAGGGCTTGTCGGTGGCTTTCCGTTAAAGTTGGCCATTTTGAATTCCATGGCCATTTCTTGCGTTGTATTTGAATGGACTCGTCATAGGGGACTTATCAAATCTACTTCAAAATTGGACAGTACAATCAAAAAATGTTGCCGATTAAACTTATTTGTGACTGTACGTTAAAAGGGCGTGTCTATGGCGTGCCGTCAAACATGGCCATTTTGAATCGAATGTCAAACTGTGATGCCATTTCCAGCATTTCAGGGCCTCTATTTTAACTAACTCCTCCTACAGATTTTATCGGATTGACTTAAAATTTGATCACTGCAATGTAGACACATTGGTAAGTATTTACTGTGCGTCAAACGGCGTGTCGGTGGCGTGGTGCTGAATTTCCATGGTTCGCAGTGAAAAGTCTCACTATGAACGCCTAAGTCTTTTGCATGGTGTCTGAAACGCGTGGCGACGTAGAGCACTCTCCCTTGGCTTCTGGCAATTAGGGCTTGGGCGTGGGTGACATGGCTTGGCGTGGCCACGCCAGGCGACCACCTTGCAGGCCCCGACGTGGGTCAATGGCAAGGTCCCGTCCAATGCTGCTTGCAGCTTTAATTTTATATTGGATTTTTATTTTATATGTTTTTACTTACTTACTCTTTTTTGTATTGTGCTATTTCTGGAATTTGCTCTAACAAGCAAATTTCCACATTGTGAGTGCCTTCTTATAAATTTCTCAGCATAGACTACAAATGTTGAGATATTATTGATGAGCCATACTGCCCAGCCTTACAGTTGCTTTTTTACACATACAGCCGACAGAGATCAAGATTTGCATTTATTTAGTCCTGGTGAATCCAAGTCCAATATTCACTCTCCTCGCCGATTATACACATAAGCAACAAGAGGACCTGCAGTGTTATATAGTGATAAATGTCTGCAGGTTCATGAATCAGTCACTTCTACAACCTCACACAGTAATTTGAACTTTCTGAAGTATTGCTGATGTAGAACACATTGATTAAGGCAGCTTTAACTGGACTTTCTTACATTTTGGTTGCTGGAGGCCAGAACCTTTCCCCTTACATACGGAGAGAGTGGGATGAGAGTGGGGTGTGCTGTCTCTATAACAAATATGAAAAAAAAAACAGTGATGATTGGGCCCTCGCACTCCACGCAACTCGGGGTGTGCTGCAGCCGCATCATATGCCAGGGTAACACGTGTGGACCACAACATGAAAATTTCACATAAATCAGATCAAAATCGCAGCGCTTACTTCCTGTTGCCAGTACGAGGCGCTATCACTATATCTGAATACTGTCATGTAAATGTGTTCAGGGCGGGACTCTTATCAGACGTGAAGTTTTGTTGAGATTGGATCATGTACACTGAAGTAATGACAACTTCCTTTTTCAAGGTGAATCGTCGAAATTGGACTCCACGCCACGGGCCCCTTCGCACGGTCATTGCTCGGGCCCTAATTAAAAACCTTTCTTACTCTGATTAAGACCTACATGAACTTAGAGGTTCCAGGTAGTCTAGCCAACACTGAGGGACAGCAGGAGCAAACCAGAGGGTAAGTGCACTGCTACCCGCTGAGAATGTTACAGTATATACAAATGTTTTTATTTCTACCAGGGGTGTCAAAACTTTGATGCCAGAGGCCACATGGAGAGTCAAATAGTATAGTATATAGTCCTGGGCCATGAGACTATCTTAACAAGTGAGTTTTAAACACACTCAGCAGAATATATCACTCCTAATGGGAGTGGGTCAGGTGGAAGTGCTGTAGTGGAGATTTGAAATACATCATGAAGGTGGCCGTCAGTCATCTTGGACCTCAATCCGCAGAGCGGGTTGACCACTAATCAGAAGGTTGGCGGTTCAATCCCCGGCTCCTCTCGCTGCATGTCGAGGTATCCTTGAGCAAGTACAGTCCATTTACCATTTAGCTCAGCTGTGGAAATCTGGACTAACGTCTGTTGAACTCTAACTGTGGAAGCTGCTGGACGCTGGAGAGTTTCATCACATTACATTTCAATAAGAACCAACTGCAGGTCCTCCTGTACTCCTTCCACACAAACAGAGAGAGGCTTCAGTCACATATTTCCCCCATTTTCAAATAAATGTTGCAAACTGAAGCTAATTTCCCACAGAAGTTGCCTTTCAAAAACTTAAAGTTTCACAGTAAATGATTTCATGTGTGCATACACACAAACAAGTCCTTTTTTTTTTTCTAAAAACAAAACAAAAAAACATAAAAAGTCCATTTCAGATGGAATAGCTCTGCTCAAGGACTGTCCTATAACCAAGCTAGTGAACATCTGAGTGGTAGATTACGTTCTCTGTATTGTGTGTCACACCTTGCATTCACAGTAAGAACTGCATTTTAATATAACCAGAAGACGAAATCTAAGTTTTCATTTAAAATAAACTCCTATAAATGAAGGTATTGGGCAGCACATAGCTCTCGGGCCATAGTTTGGACACCCCTAATGTAGACCAAAGCAATATGGACACAGGTGAGTTTTTTTTTACTCACCTTCACCACCCAGCTGTCAGTAACAATGACTCTGGCTCCAGGCGCCCCTGTAGCAAACTTATCTATGCGTCTGAACTCAGTGTTTATGCTAGTTGCCACAGCGCCCCAGTTGGAGTGAGGAGGCTGTACGTGGGCCTGTAGGGCCCGGCTCATTGGATGGTTGTGCCAGTGACGGCGGGACCAGTAGATGACGAGCGTCCAGCTGGCCAACTGGAGGAAGAGAGAGAGGAGGAGAAAGGCTCTCCAGCTGTCTCTCACCTGGTGAAACAACAACACAGCAGATACTGTAGACCGTAACTACTACCAACAAAGTAGAGTGCAGAACATACATCAACAGACACACAGTCAGTCAAAGATTGTTAATTTCATTGCTGAGGCAAAAAAAAACAATAATAAAATCTCATAACAGCACCAAATCACTGCTGTTTGGATTGCCATGATGACAAATTAATATACAAATCCAACCCAAAGCGTCTTTATTTCTTTCTCGGCTCTGATGGGTTGGTTTGTCCAGGTACAATGGATTCCTTGCAAACACCATTAGCAATGCTAGAATGAGCCAGAGGAACATGACTTTTTCACAGATTATCAGGACACAGTGAAAATTTCAGCAAATATAGCAAATGAACTAAACCATGTGCATCCTTCAGAGGGGTATGGCTCCTGAGAAGAAAAAGTTTGTAAAACTATTTATGCAGCCAACAATAACAGTTTACTTGATAATGTAGCCATTCTAAATTGCAGATAAAAGCATAAAAGGGTCGGCTGTGGCTCAGAGGTAGAGTTGGTCATCTACTAATCGGAAGGTTAGTGGCTCCTCTCGCTGCATGTCGAAGTGTCCTTGAGCAAGACACTGAAATTGCTCCTGCATCAGTGTAACAGTGTGTATGAATGATTAGTTTCTGTTCAGGCGAACAGTTGGCACCTTGCATGGCAGCCACTGCCATCAGTGTATGAATGTGTGTGAATGGGGTGTTGATGTGGTGCATGTAGTGTACAGCGCAGTGGTTGAAAGACTAGAAAGCTATATAAGTACAGACCATTTACCATACTTTTAATTCCATGATTCTTCACGCCCCTGTTGACACTACTACATGCTACTACACCAGGGCTTTCTACATGTTTAAACAGGCTAAATTTAAGACTTTTTAAAACCATTATGAATTCTATAGAAGATTTAAGACCCATTTTATCACCATACTGGCAAAAAAGTACTGAGTACGCAGGATATAAAATAAAGTATCAGTATCGGCTCCATGATGGTTATGTTTTTTAGTTTTTAGAGCATGATCAATTCAAATCCCAATTCCCAAAAACACATTTACAGCCAGAAAAAATTTTATACCAGTAACATTGACTTCATTCAGTGGCAGAAATTAAATATTGTACAATTAAGACAGCAAGTATTTTTGTGCAGCTCCACAATAAATCTCATCAGTCACATCATGACAAACTTTACATAATCTGAATTATGGGAAATTAAACAGAGCAGAGTGTGATCATAAATCTGCAGACAGAAAGGCTGACCTGGTGAATGTATCCCAGGTTTTTTTCTGGAGCAGCGATACACATCCCCATGTAGTAACCTAGAGAGATGAACAACAACATGGACACAATCAACAGCATCAAATGACCCATCGCAAACAGATTACACCCACAACAGCACTGTGATAGGTTGATTTGTCATCTGTACTGTTGGATGGTAACTGATTACACATTGTCAGGATTATGTAATCTCAGATTGCAAATCATAAATAACTATAATCAACCCAGATTACAGTTGACAAATGTATAATTAGTTCATAGTTACATTGTCAAGGATTAACTGATTATATCTTTGTCTTTAAAATATGGCAATTTAATTTTCTTTATGATAACAAATTCTCTATGAACCCTCTGGGCTCTATAGATCTTGATAGTGGAATAGGGTCAATATCATGTTATTCCACTGTCACAAAGATGCCCTCACAGCCTCAGATTGGTTGACAAGTCAGGAACACAGCCTCTGATTGGTCAACAGACATAACCCAAGGCATCATGGGACTGCTAGTGGACGGCGGACAACAACAACAATGATTTTCAACAAAATAAAAATGTATCAATAATCACAGAAGACTTTCATTTACAGTTTGATTGGACAAACTGTAAATGCTGAAAATGCTAAATTTAATTTGTATTGACTGATGTTTAAATTGAAATCCAAATGTTTTTGTAACACACACACTGGACATTGTTGGTGTCCAATCAGCTGCAGGTTCATTGCATACACTGTTAATTCACTTTTTATTTGTATTTGTTCTTGTTCTCTCTTGACTTAGTCTTATGTATGTATGTATGTATGTATGTATGTATGTATGTATGCATGTATAGACAATACATCTTGTGCTTTTGCATAAGCATAAGCTTTTGCTCTTCATCTTTTCTCTGTGATTTTCCCTAATACTCCATGTATTGTTATTTGCAGTGTTAATATTGGTGGTAATATTACTATACTGTTAATAAAGAAGGCAGAAGAACAAAAAAACAAACATAAAAGTATTGCCCATTTGACAGGAGCCATATGTAGTTAGGCGCTATACAAGTACAGGTCCATTTACCATTTACATTAAGCCATATAATTTTGAAAATATAATATTAGTGAAGAAGTTAATGAAGTTAATTATGTAAATGTGATCTGCAGAGATGTTTGGATTGTTATTAATGAGATTTACATCAATCTTTGGTAGTATACTTTATCAATTTCTCCTGAAAGGTTCTTCTGTAAATCAAACCAAAACATGACAAACAATCTACAAATACGTGTTCCATGGTTGGTTTAAAAGATTGCCCCCCTTGTATACGTTTGTAGATACTGATTTTAAAACGAATTTAACAACTACTGAAAACTTAAAACTCAAAGACCATAAATTGGCAAAAACTATTAGATTATTTAGACATTTCACATTTACTCCAATTGTTTAGCAAACCCCGAAGGTTTAAGCGTTTGTTTTTTCAGGGCTGAACAATTAATAAAAATATTACAGAAATCACAATAAAGCCAAAAAGCAAATTGCAAAAACTGTAATTAATGAGATAAAGGAAAAATAAGACAAAACAGAAAATAAAGAATTACTGTAGTTCTGAAGAGATACCCTAGCCTACAAGTCTTGTTCTAACGTTACAGATGTAAGAAAACATATTTGTTTGGTACAGGCCCCAACAAATTTCACCTCATCATGATTATGAAATTTTTTTAGTAAAAATGTATCCTGAATCATATCTCAATCACACTATTTAAAAATAATCGCTAATTTATTTCATTATATTTGTATTTGTTTAATATGAAGTATACAGTAGTTGCACTTTTTATAATGTTTCGTAAACTCATATAGTTAATGTATTGGATGAACGGAATTACTTTTAGGTTATTAAGGTACATTAAGCTAAGAGATGTTGTTAAGAACAAAGTTTGTTATTAACTTTTAACAAAATACAAATATGGGACTTTTAATGCTACATTAGCAACATGGCCACTGCTGCGAGCTGTGTGCGAAAGTTAAGGTTAACTTCTTCAGCATTTGAATGTGTCTATGATACACATTAGTTCTGCCCCGGTCTGTCTGTCTGTCTGTCTGTTTGATTGAATGTTAGCTGTTACCTAAAGGAAGTGCGGAGTGGACCAGTACGGTAATGCTGGTCCTCCTGATGTGGTACTGGGTGAAGCCCACATCCTCACTCCCCAGCCAGGACGAGAACAGGTTCTGGATGGTTAAACCGGCCGTTCGGAACTCATTGGGCGTAAACACGAAGCAGAGAGAGAACACTATGTAGGCCAAAGTAAAATTTAACTCTGGACTCTCCATACTTTATCTACGTTCACTACTGCCGTCTACTTCCTCATATGTTTCTTCCTCTACGCGTCACTATCTTAAGACAAATGTAAAAGTGCTGCCACCTGTTGCTCCGAAAGGGAACTAACGTTACTAGATGGTCCGTGTATGTTTTGGTCATTGGATTTTCCTTTCAGAAACGGGTATTAAAAAACAGAAAACGAGTGGTTATTTGATTTTCGTTTTAAAATACAAAAATTTAAATTGAAATACAAGGCGTTATTCTTTTTCATGGTCAGAAAGGGACAAGCGAAATTAAAAAAAATATTCGATTTTCATTTTCTATTTCATATAACAAAAAATAAAATCACTAGAAAACAGAAACGGAAAAAAAGCCTGTTTTTTCATATTCTGAGACCGGATGTTATCATTTACAGGACGGTGCTGTGTAGAAGAAACAGTAGGCTAGTAGACTGAGACTGCATATTTGACCATATTTGAGGTACTGTAAAAACATATTGCTCAGTGTTTCCTGGCTACTGATGGTATATTTGACTTTTACACATATGAGACTACAAACATACTTAATATCAAGCATTTTTACTGTACCAATTTGGAGAAATTCAACAATAAAAGTCCATATTTGTACCTCCAAGTGGTATTTTCATATATTTGAGCTACTGTAAAAACACTTTGCTCAATAATATCCATATGGAATCTGGAAGTATAAATATGGGACTTTTATTCTTCAATTTCTCCAAATTGGTACAGTAAAAATGCTTGATATTAAGTATACTTGTAGTCTTAGATGTATAGAAGTCAAATATACCATCCATAGCCAGGAATTATTGAGCAAAGTGTTTTTACAGTAGCTCAAATATATGAAAATATGCCACATGGAGGTACAAATATGGCTTTTATTGTTGAATTTCTCCAAATTGGTACAATAAAAATGCTTGATATTAAGTATGTTTGTAGTCTCATATGTGTAAAAGTCAAATATACCATCAGTAGCCAGGAAACACTGAGCAATATGTTTTTACAGTACCTCAAATATGGTCAAATATGCAATCTCTAGAGGCATAAATATGAGACTTTTATTTTGGCATTTCTCCACACTGGTGCAGTAAAGATACTTGATATAAAGTGTTTTTTTATTCATCAGGGGCGCATGACACACTTTAATGTAACATATTTTAATTATAGCTTACTGTTCTAAATACCTTTATTTTGAAAACCGGAAGTAAATACGCTGTTTCTCCGCATTTACCATAATGCTGAGAATACTTGTACACTCGAAATTTAAGTGCGGCTGATTTGACCCCGGAGGTCGGACTCACGGCTGGATTGACCGCAGTCTACTGCTCTACTGTTTCTTCTCCACAGCACCGTCCTGTAAATGACAACATCCGGTCTCAGAATATGAAACAACAGGCCTTTTTTCTGTTTCTGTTTTCTAGTGATTTTATTTTTTGTTATATGAAATAGAAAATGAAAATCGAATCATTTTTTAAATTTCGCTCCCTTCGAAATCCCTTTCTGACCATGAAAAAGAAAAACGCCTTGTATTTCAATTTTAATTTTTTGTATTTTAAAACGAAAATCAAATAACCACTCGTTTTCTGTTTTTAATACCCGTTTCTGAAAGGAAAATCCAATGACCAAAACATACACGGACCCAAGATACTGCTATCCATTTGTCTCGGGAACTCGGAATCCGAGTTGGAAAGTGTAAATCTTGCGAGATTTCACCGAGACACACCCCCTTTTGGTCGGAATTTCAGCCGTCCAGCTCGGGGTGCCTCAGGGTACCCCGAGCTGGACGGGGGGTCACATACGACCCGCAAAACAAAGATGGCAGCACCCATATTAAAATGTATTTTCTTTGTATTTGTACCATGTTGGTCGTTTTAATGTCGATTTTAAATGCTCCTACACACTTGTTTACATTGCTGCTTTAGTCCGGTCACCAATTTATGCATTGCACAGTGTTGCTGTGCGTGCAATACAAGTAAAGTTTTGTTTTCTAGCTGGTTTGCTAAATAGGCTAATGTAGCTAACAATAACACTAGCCCCACTGCCCCTGGTGGCTCGAGACAAACGCCACAGCACTTATGAAATTGAAATAGGAAGCAAAATATTATTGAAATGTAAGACTTGCAATAACGGAATTACTTGAAATGTTAGTGTTTCTGTAGAAAAACATATTATTATTTCACATTGAGCTTGTTTAGAAGAGCCACAAGCAATAATAAGACAGCTGCTGCACTTCTTTCCGACTCGTAATGCCCAAAGACAAACTGGAACACTATAAGTGGTACAAGCCAGGCAATGACGTCACGTTCTCGCGGCAGAACAACTCGGGTTCCGAGTTCACGAGACAAATGGAAAGCAGCAGGAATGCTGCATTATGCATTATGCATTATGCTGCTTTCCAGCACTGTAACCAGGCTGACAGAGTCACAGCTCTATTGAGCCACATATCCCCATAACTTTGAGTAGCAATGACTTTATGAGCTTCTTTTAATAATTAGGGACCGAGCACTAACAAGTGCAAGGACCCTATTGTTCCTCTAGGAATTATTATTATTATGGCATGAAAATTTGCACAAAATTCAAACGTAGCAAAAATACCGATAACATTGTCCCCGTGCACGGGCGCCGCCAAACGTCTAAGCCACGCCCCCCAGAATCAGCCCCCAAGACACGTAAGGCCCACATGTACGAAAATTGCTACGCATGTGTATCATGATAAAAGAAGCAGAAAAGCCTCTTGGACCCATGCCCCAAAACCCACAGGAAGTCTGCAATTTAAATTTTTAATATTCATCATTTTGTGGTCATTTTGACTTTTTGGGCTTGTATTTGAACGAACTCCTCCTAGGGAATTTATCGGTTCTGCTTCAAAATTGGTCAGTACTGTCAAAACATGGTGCTGAATGAACGCTGTTCAATTTGTAACTGTACGTTGAAGGGCGTGTCCGTGGCGTGCCGTCAAAGTTGGCCATTTTTAAGTCCGTGGTCATTTTCGGTGAATTTTCGCCTTGCATTTGAACAAACTCGTCCTCGGGAATTTCTGGGATCTGCTTCAAAATTGGTCAGTACAGTCACAAAATGGTGCTGAATGAACGCTGTTCATTTTTTCACTGTACGTTGAAGGGCGTGTCCGTGGCGTGCTGTCAAAGTTGGCCATTTTGAACGAATGTCACACTGTGATGTCACTTTTGGCATTTCAGGGCTTCTATTTAACTAACTCCTCCTACAGGTTTTATTGGATCTGCTTCAAAATTGGTCAGTGCAGTCAGTTTTTTTTGTCCAACATTGTGCCCGTGGCGTGGCGTCCCGTGGCATCCAATTTCAAACCTTCGCCATGAAAGAGGGATTCGTCATAACTTCTGCGTACATGATCCGACTGCAACGAAACTTCACATGTTCGATACCAGTCCCGCCCTGAACATGTCTATGTGATAATATTCGGTAACAGTCAGAGCGCCACCTAGTGGCAACAGGAAGTATCACATTTTATACTTTCATGTTGTACTCCTAGCAGGATGATCAGACCCAGCTGAAATTTACTTATAAAATGCAAAACACATTGTTGATGATATGTGATGACTGCGGTGAGGGGGCATGTCTGGAGCGTGGCGGGAAATTTTGATGTACCGCTACAAAACACGAATTTGCTATAACTTGAGCGTACATTGTCCAATCGGCTCCAAACTTCACATGTCTGATAAGAGTCCCGCCCTGAACATGTCTATGTGATAATATTCAGTAAAAGTGAGAGTGCCACCTAGTGGTGAAAGGAAATGTCATTTCTTTATACTTCCATGTTCTACTCCTAGTAGGATGATCAGATCAAGCTGAAATCTAGTCAGAAAATGGAAAACATGTTCTTGATGATATTTCTTGATTGTGGTGAGTTTTTGTTACAGGACGTGTCCATGGCGTGGCGTCAAACTTTGATGTACCGCCAGAACACACAAAGTTGCTATAATTTGAGTGTACATTGTCCAATCAGCTCCAAACTTCACATGTCTGATAACAGTCCCGCCCTGAACACATAGTGATAGCGCCACCTAGTGGCAACAGGAAGTAAGTGCTGCGTGGCGATTTTGAGCTGATTTACGTGAGATTTTCATGTCGTGGTCCGCACGTGTTACGACGGCACGTGACGCGGCCGCAGCACGCTACGAGTTGTGTGGAGTGCGAGCTCCCGTCCATCTCTGCTTGCAGCTTTAATAATAAAATTATTACTATTAGAGACAAAATTAATCACCAAATGCCCACATCAGGTATTACTGGCTCTCCAAGATCAGGAACTTTAACTAATGTAAAATCAGATATATATTTAGAATGTTTTTCTGCCATCGATCTTCATCAATTAACTTAGATAATTTCTTCATCCAAGCCATCAACCTGTCTGCTAGACCCGATCCCAACTCGGCTGCTTAGAGAAGTCATACACTTAATTGGCACTTCTTTACTAGATATGATTAATCTTTCCTTATAGTCAGGATATTGTAAGATGAGATTTATTTTGTGAATTACTTTACTATGTTTATTGAATTTGCATGAATTAATTAAGGGTAATTACATATATAAGCATATTTGTATTCTGTTCTGCAATGTAGATGAGGAACTACATAAGGTGCATGTTACCTGGAATGTTACCAATGGTTAAGATTGGCGGAGTGATATGATGAAAAGTGGTGTTCAGTTGTCCTACTGTTGAAAACGGACATTAAAGTGGATCGAGTAACCAAGATGAAGTTTTCCCCGTGCTCTTGCTTCACCCACGACCCAAAAAGGTAGTTAATATAGTAACTATCAAGTTATAGTTAACGCTAAGAGTAACCAGCATTACAATATGTACCACAGTCCTTTAAAGTAGCTGTAATTAAACCCCTTCTTAAAAAGCCCACTCTTGACCCAGGGGTTTTAGGCAACTATAGACCAATTTCTAACCTCCCCTTCCTCTCTAAGATTCTGGAGAAAGTAGTCGCCAAACAGTTGTGTGACTTTCTACATAACAATAGCTTATTTGAGGATTTTCAGTCAGGATTTAGAGTTCATCACAGCACAGAGAC